GAAAGGAACTGGAAGATCTTATAAGAGACATTTATTTTTGAGAACTTTTCAAAACTCAAATGTTTTTGGTCTGGATACACAATTTTTTTGCGTGTCCATTTTCGCGTTACCGGGGAATGTGCGGGATAAGCTTAGGTTAGGTTGTGCAAGGGCTAGGTTACGTTACGTATGGTTAGGGTTAGGGACGAATAGGTTAGGTTAGATTCGGTAATATTTTTTTTTCTTTTTACGAAAGTTCGCAACAGCAGATGTCATATCAACCCTCAGGGTGCCGGTGTTTTTGAAAAAAAAGCCCATTTGTAAGTGTGTTGGGTTCGAATGCTGGATTCGAACCCGGGACCTTTACCTTACAGTGATGAGCGCCGAGTCAACGCCCAAACAGTTACGGCCACCGACGCCCCCTGGTTAGGTTAGAGTGTGCAAGGGCTAGGTTTCTATCACAGAATGGATCCAGAAAAGACAAAGGGAGAAGTGGATAAACTCTAGGGACGTTAGACACAGTAATCTTTTGCTAAAACAACCCTCACCAAGACTAGCAAATTGATTGCTACAATTAGAGAGGACTGCACTCAGAGGAGTGATAGAACTATTAACCGGTTACTGGCTTCTAAGAAAACATCTAATATATTCAATGATGTAGGTTGTGCAAAGAATAGGAAAAACGGCCACCCATATCTTCGAATGCGAAGCAGCAGCCCAATGGAGGCATAACGTGGGATACAAAGTAAGCTCAGGAAAAGGAACTGTTGCAAGTTCATTCAATGATACAGTACTTCTTAGGAGAAGGATCGCGTTGAATGCATTGAACTAAGGAACGAGGAATGTACAATAAGCTAGAAGGCTGCAGTGCTAGGGGAACATAAACCTAGTATCCTTTATCATCGCAAAGGCGTTACGTTCGGTAAGGCAAGGTTAGGTTAGGTTGTTAGTTAGGCTAGATATCAATGATTCAATGCTTATTCCGTGAAAGGGAAAATATGTAAAGCCCATATTTTCAACGTTAGTTCGGAAAATTTTCAATTAATTAATCTTTATATAAGGTATTAGTTGAGATGAAAAAGTCAGTGCCACGAGCGGGATTCGAACCCACGACCCTCGGCTAAATACGTCGCTGCTCTACCACTTGAACTATCGCTTTTCGCCATTTTTCAAATATCGTGAAATCTATTTGACTCTCGGCGACAAATGAAATGGCCACGGAGAGCTTGCGTGAAGATACACTTGATTTTACTTATTAAATTATCCCGCTAAAATCCCGCTTATGCCATTGACTTTTTTTACTCAACTAAAAACCTTAATTAATTGTAATATATTAATTGGTCAAGCGGACCACGAAATTAGTGAATTTAATAAAATATTGACTAACATGTATATAAATTGTGGGGGGGGGTTTGGTATAGAATTACGACAATCCTTTCCTCCTGCGACTTAAAATCTTTTGTGAAATCCATAAAAATTATACCCATACATTGGAAATTGCGCTTTTTCTTATAAGACAGCACTTTTCTTGGTGAGTGAAAGACCTCTTCCCGGACCTCTGTTGGTGTGAGCAATGCCCTACCGAAGTGGCTGTACCGTAACCGGGCTAATGCTTCACATTCACAAAGAATATGTGTCTATGGCTCCTCCTGACAGAGACGGCATTTTATGTCTCTGCTTTGCCCATGTGCTTCAGATTATAGTTAAAAGGGCAGTGGCCGGTACAGAGGTCTATAAGTTTTCTCAAATCCTGCCTGCTGAGAGAGAGAGGAGTCCTTTTGCCTTCCATTTAGATATGTTTATAAATCTCACCTTGCCTTAAACCTGGTTCTTTTATCTAGAGCATGAGTGTTTCTTTCTCAAGTTCCAACTTAAGTACACATTCCGATGAACCTGTTGTGGTTCTGGTTCCATGGGTGAGAGGGCTGCCCTTTTTTGGCTAATTGGTCATCCCGTTCTATTCCTTCTATGCCTTCATGTCTGGAACCCTCTCCGTGTGTTTTCCTAGAGTCACTAGACAATTTAAGCACCCCCAAGACAATTTTCGAGACAAAAGTATACGCATTTAGTGCATTTATGGTTGACTACCTGTCTGAGAGTATGTACATCTATGCACCTTTCATAGTTTTCTTTATTAACTTCTGTAGAAAGATACCGAGTTGTACTGCATGGACTTCAGCTTGGAAAAATTGTCGGGGTTAGTCCAAGGAGCTTTGCTAGGATGTAGTTCGGCCCTTTTATCTCTACACCTACTCCTTGTTCCATCTTCGATCCATCTGTGTACCGTTAACGCCCTTTCTTGAAACCTGCGCCACCTTTCTTCCAAACTTTTTATCTATGTCCACTTGGAAGGGTCTGTCAAAATTGAGCTTTTCTCTCATTTCGTCAAGTACCGTTATAGCCATCTGATTTTTTTCTTTCTGAAATTTTGTGGTGTATTTTCTGTGAGCAGCCTGCTGCATGGATGCCTGATACCCAACTATCAGGCTATTTGAATATTCCAATATTTTAGGGCATTTAGGCAATTCCAGACGAGATTTGAGTTGATCTCGCAGGCTTGGAGAGGCTTTAGAACGGCTAGGCTATCAGTTTATTATTATTGTGCCCATGCCCCTACCATTTTCCATCTTGTAAACTGTCATTACAGTAGAAGGTCTGTCTCCAAGTGTTTCTTCTTTTGATTTATCTTTCCATTCTGCTCTTTTTCATTAATTATGTTGAAAGGGTTTTCAAAGAAAAGTCAGATGTTTTGATAGTTTTAACTTTTTGAAAATTTTGGTATGGCCAGAATTTGTTCTATGCTTTCTTTCCACCGATTTACCATTAGTACCATAGATAGATAGATAGATATAATATTTCAGGGTATGGTATACTGCGCCCTTTAAGAGCTATTGTATCCCCTGTGCTCTGCCTAAAGCACATCGGTGAGTCCTATTTCATCAAGAAACTTGATTAATAGGCCCGGTTTCAATGGTTGTAGTTCTTCTATGGTCACATTGTACATCCCAAAACACTTCCTCCTGCGGGCTAGTGTAGCTCCGCAGTTTGTTAGTAAGTGTGTTGGTGTCTCTTCTGCTTCTTTGCAGAATCTACATGTGCCATCTTGGATTATTCCAATTTTCTTTAGATGTCCATTTAATCTACAGTGTCCTGTCAGGAATCCTGTTAAGATTCGCAGTCTATTCCTGCTTCCTTTGACACATTCTGTGATTTCTTTCTTGCCAAAATTGGTTAGAAGATTCTTGGATTGTCTATGTCCAATAAGTGAATTCCAAAGTTCGCTCATTTTCTTTTTGCCCTTCTGTCTGAGGTATTCGTTAATAGTGTGTATTCCTATTCCACAGAAGGGTTCGGGTCCTATTAGCGGTGTGGCAGCCCCTTTTCTTGCAAGGGTGTCCGCTTTCTCATTCCTTCTACTCCCATGTGTCCTGGGACCCAGCAGAGGCTGACTTTATTCTGCGAGCCTAATGTATTTAATTTGGTTTTGCAGTTCAGCACCATCCTTGAACTAATGGTATTTGAGCTTAGTGCTTTGATGGCTGCTTGGCTATCTGACATGATAGCTATATTCTTGTTTTTGTATCCTCTATTTAGATTGAATTGTATACATCTTTCAATTGCATGAATTGGTGTGCTTTCCCATGGGTTCTGAGTATTTGGTTCCGGGTCCGAACACTCCTGCCCCCGTACCTTCCTGTGTTTTAGATCCATCTGTGTACCAAAGGATGGTGCCATTTTTGAGGGAATTAGTTCCCTCTCTTTCCCATTCCTTTTTGGTGCCCAGATGTATTCGGAATTTATGGTTAAATTCAAACCTCCTGCATTAGTACCATGCTGCTATTTTAATATATTGTGGTGGCAGTTTGAGGTTACGTTACATTGCAGCTGTAGGTGTTGTTTTAAGACGTAATTCTCCTGCCTTTATTTGTTTTACTTTTGGCCACCATTTATAACTTGCGTATGTGATCATGGGTCTGCCAATCGTAAGAGTCATCTTAGGAGTTAGTACGGAGGTTCTCCAAAAGAGTTTGGCATATCCATTGTGCCTGTGTTCTGTCGAGGTTAAAATGAGTATTCCATGTTAACTTTTGGTCAAAACTTTGGAATGCTTTATTTCTTGGTTTCCGAAAGATAGAGTAAGGTTTAACTTTTTCCTGGTGAATTGTTGCCTTGAAAAGATTTATTTTATATTTAATTTAAGCCTTTTTCCAGGCATAGAAAACGTCGTCGTTCTTTAATTGCTTCTGCATATCTGATAACTCAAGTAAATCACCTCGGTCTTTGTTAACGAGATTCGTTGAATTCTATTTTGGGTTGTGAGGTTCGGAGTGATAAGTTAAGGCAAAAATTTGCCCACAAAAAATTTCACGGAAGTTTTCTTTCAAAAATTACAACAAAAAATTGCAACGGTTTAAGCATTGTTTAAATCCCTTAAATACGAAGTCTTATAGCAAACAACAATATAAATTTTTAGGCTGGCTCAGCCGGGGGGCAATTTTTGCTTCTTCGATTTCCAGTGTTCAAGACTTAAAATGACTTCAAAATTCCTCTGTGTCATTACAACCGTCGGAAAACTGGACTTTTCCAATTTCATACAATGCCAACGACGGTTAGATTTTAAAGCATTGTAATTGAGATACACCGATGTGCCCATAAATTCATGAAAAACTTAAATATTAGGAGGTGTGGACTGGAGATACATAGATCGCTGGTTCAGATCCGGCCCGGAGGACCAAATAACAACAAGGCTTTATTAAAGCGATTGAGGGGTACAAATGATGTATATATACACATAATTTTGACGTATTGACTGAGCGACGTGACAAAGTAGTCCAAAAAATTATTTTTTAGCAAGAAACAATGTTGATATTTGTTTTCTGCATCCCAAAAAACCACTGACTTTGACTTTTGCGAAAATCAAAAATTACCTTATTTACTCAACTTTTTCTCCTTAATTGTGCTTTGCTTTTTTCTTTGCCTAATGGCAATTTCGTATGCCACATGTGTTCGGAACTGACAAGTGTTCTGACTTAATCTTCCTTGTCCAATTTATCGGTTTCCTCGTTGCCTCATGCCTTGGTACCCAGACAAGGGTGGTTTTGTTGTTTTCCCAATGTCTGACAGGGCCTTGAAGAAATCCCTAACGCCTCTGGACTTTACTACGTAATTGAATTCGATTTCAAACGAATCCCCCGAGTTGTTGACTTTCGAAGGGATTTTAGACGGACAGACGCCGGCTTGTTTTCAACCTGGAAAGGTCTTAGCTGCAAAGGTAAAAACGAATCGAATGCTTCTACAGTTCTTCAAAATATTGATATTCATCTGATCATAAGGAGTCAACAAATAAATTACAAGTTGGTACACATTTTTTCTTTATTCTTAAGGCTTAATCAACTCTTCAGTAGTTGCAAAAAAATCGTATAATTTTTTTTATGTACACATGAAATAATAGCTTTTTGTCGTTGATGAGAATACATTTTGTAGGATAATACATTTTTAATCCGGGGACATTTTGAAGGATTATAAAGATTATTGATGCTTATCCATCGAGGCGGTTTTATTTTTAAATGTATTGCTTTCGAAATGTTTATCTATTTTAAAACATTGTGCCGTTTTGAAATGTTTACTTTAAGTCCACCTGGCCGATTATTGTGAAAACCCATTAGGAAACATCAATATTGTTTGGATATTTAATTTTCTTCCTTTAAATTAATTCCTTTTAAGATTATTTTGGAAAACCAAGGTTTAATTTTTTTGCCGCGGGGCTGGGAGCAAAGAGAAGAACAAAGTGGCTTCAAGGCAAATTCCGGGTCGAAGGCCTTATTATTTCAGTCGCGAATCTTTTCGGCGCCCATCGAATATTATTATCAACCGGTTTTTGGGCCAAAGGTGGAGTAAAATACTCGAGAAAAACGAAAAATTTACCCGTTTGAGGAAAAAAAGACCAGACGAGGCAGTAGGGTTGTGGGGTTGTGAGGATCGAACCCAAGGTCCTTATCCAACGGGGGAAAACAAGCCCCAACGCCCCATTGGCATTGAATAAACAATGAATATTTGATGATTTTTCACATTTTATCCCGTGGTATTTACTTCGTCAAAAGGCCTAAACTTCCTATCCGGCTGAAATCAAACATGAAAAAAAAAACCTCTGTACAAAATGTATCGACATAATTGACTCGATTCACCATCAAAAATATGGAGAGATAATTATTATTTTTAAAAAGATTGTTATTCTCTCTTGACTATTTCGTAGAGCTTCCAAGGTATCAGAGGGTATCACCTATAATTTTAAAGTCTTATTCAATCAACTCATTTTCAATTAATTGACCTGAAAAATTTAAAAATTCAAAAACATTTATATATATTATGCAGGGTGTTCGGCTACTCGCGTTAGAAACTTTGCCAGTACATTCTACATTCAAAATGGAACCAAAAAGTCCTGATTAACTATGGTCCGAATCTCAACAGTTTCGGAGTTATTTCACTTTTTCTGATTTTTTAAGATTTCACGACCTTGCTTCAAATAAACAATAATAACTCCAAAACTAAAAGTTTTTTGACAAATCCGTTGATACCATTGAAAAGTAAGTTAAATTTTCAATAACATGCGATTAAACTTGTAAACGTTAATGAAATAAGCGTTTTAGTAGCGAGAACTTTGAACAAAATTTTTTTTTTCAAAGTTGAAAAACTTACTGTGGTGATTCTAAACTTATTTCCAAACGTACCCCATTTAATACCCTTTTTAGTGGTGCAGTTTTAATTACTTTTTTCAAAGATGAAGAAATTGATGAAGGAAAAGAAAAAAACCGTGGTTGAAGGATTGGTAAGGTGGAAAGATTAATAATAATAAAAAATAAAAACTTAAGGAAATTTTGAATGAATTTATTAAACTTTTTTTTTAAATTTTGATTCTAAATGTTATCCACCCTCTGCAATGTATTTTCGACGCGCTGCCGTTGCATTAAACCCGCAAAACCCGTACATAATATACATATCATATTCTTCATTAGAAAAAATAGCCATAGTGTTAACAAGGTATCACATAGATAACTAAAAATGTTTTGAATCATAAAACTCTTTTATTCCGGAGAATAATAATTCAATAATCCTTTAATCAAAGTTGCAGCAGTGTTGGTAAATCAGTAAACATTTGCACTAATTCGGTTTAAACACAAATTTAAAAAAAGTTTAATAATTTCAATCAAAATTTCCTCAAGTATTTTTTTTCCACCTTACCAATCCTACAACCACGGTTTTTTCTTTTCCTTCATCAATTTCTTCATCTTTGGAAAAAGTAATTCAAAAAAATCAATTGCGCCACTAGAAAGGGTATTAAATGGAGTACGTTTTCTGAAATTTGCTGGTCTCTAGCTTTGGAAACGGTAGTTTAGAATCACCATAGTAAGTTTTTCAACTTTGAAACTGCTAAAACGCTTATTTCGCAAACGTTTACAAGTTTAATATTCATCACATCTTATTGGAAATTTAACGTAGTTTTCAATGGTATCAAGGGATTTGTCCAAAACGTTTTAGTTTTGGAGTTATCATTTTTTATTTGAAGCAAGGTCGTGAAATCTTAAAAAATCATAAAAAGTGAAATAACCGATAGTGTTGACATTCGGACCATAGTTAATCAGGACTTTTTGGTTCCATTTTGAATGTAGAATCTGCTGTCAAAGTTTGTAACACGAGTAGCCGAACACCCTGTATAGTTAAGACAGGACTTTATTCCAAGCACAGAAGCTAGATAAGTCTGACAGACCAACACAGCGAGCACGCAAATCAAAAATGATCTATGATAAAAAAAAACCACCATATTTAATAACAACCTTAAAGTCGTCCGGGTTGCTGGACATTCTTACGGTCTTAATATATCTGTTCCGAGTAAAGGTCACTCGTTCCTACAAAAGAAAAATTAAAAACAGGTTAGTTAGTAATTGACGTCATATTAAATTTAATTGACGTCGTGTCGTTGACGGGGAAGGCGTATGAACTTCTGAGTGATGTTACGCAACAGTTTTGAATATTTTAAGTCAGACGATGAAACAAAGCATTAGGTTTTTAATGTAGTTTACTGAACCCCTTTAGTTAGTCATGAAAAGGTTACATGAAAATTACTTTTTAGTTGTTTTGACTACATATTATTGCTAAAACCAACTAAGTTCAATATAAATATAAAAATGACACCTTTATCAATGGAAACAACGAGTACGCAAGTCCTCCATTTCCATCAATGAGAAAAGATGGCTCGGAGATTTATGATAACATGATGTCTGATGATAAACAGTCTTTTAACAATGTTTTTGGGCAGAGTACACAATTTTCTTTTTCTCGTGAATATTTTTCACATTAACTGGGAGTGCGTATAGGTTGGTTTATGTTATGTTGAAGGTTATGTTAAGGTTAGGGACGAGTTAGGTAAGAATGGGCAGGCTAGATGAGAGTTAGGGGTGGCTTAAGTTGGGTTAGGCTGGCTTTAATAGGTTAGCTTAGGAATTGGTACGTTAGGTTTGGGTTAGAGACGGGTAAGGTTAGGATTAGGGACGGCTTAGGTTATTACGGACGATAAGCAGCCTTTTAACTAGGATAGGATTTTGGGTTGGGTACGAAATTTTCTATTTTGCGTGACCGTTTCCTCGTAGAGTTCTAACCAAACTCGTGAAAAGCTGATCGGGACATGATTCCATAACTCACACTCCAACCAGCACAAGTCATTTCTTCAACGTCCCTCCCTAAATAAGAAGAATGACCTCGTGACATAACCGTAGGTCCAGCAATGGTCGGCTTTTCTCTATATTTTACCCGATAGACTCCTGCAAGATCTTTGTTACCGTACACATTCCTCAGAAAGCAATCAATTTTTCAAAAATGTAAAAACTCGCTCTTCGCACTCTCTGATCTTCGCTTCATGGAAAAACATTGAATCACAGATATGTTATATTACCGTCCCTAACACCAAACCTAACTAACTTAACCTAACCTAATCCATCTCTAACACTATAACTCTACCTAACCATCATTCTTAACTTACCCTAACACAAACCACACGTACTCTCAGAGGGATTTCAAGTCCTTTAGTTTATCAAGGTGGTTTGACTTTTACATTGTCATACCGAAGAACATTCGTCGATTTACCAAAACTGAGCATCCTGCCAAAATACCCGCGAAAATTTGACCTGAAGAGAGTTAAGCAACTATTTACGAAGCCCGCTCGAATAGAATCAATTTCTTGATTTGAAACAAGAAGAGCCTCTCTTTAGAGGGTTGTTGAGAAAAAAAATTTCAATGGAACCGACGTGTGGCATCAGTGATTCGTGAGCTTCTGCAATTCTTCTTCAATCAACCGCCGTGTATTTCCCTGCATTTTCACACCAAATTCGAGTGGTTGTCTTCTCCTCCTCAACATCAGAAGTTAAAAAAAGCTCGTAGTGTCCAAATGCCTGTAGTAAAGAAAAAACTGTGCAATTGCTAAACTAAAGACTTCATAATTTGTCCAAATTGCTGTTTATCTTTAGCAAACAAAAAAAGAACTCAAATGAATTTAGTGGTTTTTTTTTACTTAATATGGCTCAAAGTTGTCAGAGAGGGCAAACGCCGATCTGAGATCGTTCTGAGGAGCTGCTGCTGATCGTCCTTGTCTTTGAGGTTCTTTTCCTCGCCGAAACCCTTCATCAGACTGATTTGACGTAATCATTTTTGATCAAATCGACTGAGAAACTGTAAGTGGAATTGGATTCAGTCATCAGTCATACTATTCCAAGTATAGAAAGGCCAAGGTCTGGCTAACAGACTAGTGTAATCTTCCTAAATATTAGTCAGGGGTTTTTTCACATTATTCAATTTCCTTTAATTTTAATGATTTTATTTTTATAAATGACAATGAAAATTTGTCTTAATCGATTTTGAGGTATTTTGTTTCGTTTTTTCCAGATCGACGCAACATGAAAATATTAGCAAGTCCTACGCCGTAATTTCACCAATTTAGACAAAAAACGTCTGAATAACTTTCATCTGTCCGTTCTTTCAAATGTAAGTCAAAGACTAAATAATATTGAACAACATTGATCATAGTTATTCGTACATTTTTTCTCAATATTTTTTGTAAAATTTATTGTTTATTATCTTTATATTCTTTAATATAAAAATAATAATAGACAATCTTTACTAAGCACGTTATTATTTTTTATATAAAAGACGATTAATATAAAAACAAAACTAGATTATGTTCTTTGTTTCACGGAAAAACAATGGATCATGGATATGTAACCTAATCCGTCCCTAACACTAGCCCTAACCTTCTCATTCCTAAATTATCCTAACCCAACCCAACCTTACCTAAGAAATCATAACAATATCCTAGGAAGAATTAAAATAAATCAGACGTATATAACGGTATCTGTGAAAATGAGAGGACAACACAAATTTGACAGGCCAGCGGTCATAGATAACAGAGATCTTTGGCAGAAAGGCAAGATGTTTGAAGAAGGGGCCATAATATACACTGATAAAGATGGGTAAGGATAAAGGGAACGAATCACAAAACGGAAATCCACAACCAAGCATAACCGCTTGGTTATACTGTGTTGTACTGGTTTTAACTATTTTCCAAGCTGAAGTCCGTGCAATGCAGCTCTACGCATAGGAGTTGATAAACAAGAAAATGAATATGTGGATATACATACTTTCGGACAGTCAGGCTAGCCTGGGAGTGCCTAATTTAACAAGATTACATTGAGGTGAGTTCCGGGACTTGAACGTATTTTAGTGACTACAGCTTTGTAGTGGCATGAGAATGGGCGATGTTTTGAGACTATTGGATGTCAATGAACCGGATGGATGTGGCAGCTATTGAGTGAGCGATGAGTCAAGCTGTTAAGAAGATTGTGATGTTTGTGACTGGTGTTAGCGCCATTCTCGTTTCGTCGAGATCTCGACGAGTCTGCTCCAAACAAGTCGAGCTCCTACTAAATAGAGGGGTGATACAAGATAATGTTGTTTGGCAGGCGGAACACCAAAAAAAACTAATACTAGGAATGTAAACCAACATGAAGCAAGCAAAAATACTACTCGCAAAAACAACCCAATAGAAGAAAGAGGCATTCCTTCTCAACAAAAAGGAACTAAACAGAATAACAGGATCTTGTAAAATACCTTGTTAAAAAAAATGGGACGGTAAACAGATGACCAATGTCGACTATATCCAGAAGTTGCAGAGGCAACATAACCTATCTTATGTAACTGCCTTGCAATAACTAGGAAAAAACTATGTCGCCTAATAAAGCCATTCCTTAGCAGTAAAGATTTCGATACAATACCCATGAGAAGAATTCTGCTTTATTTCGTCCACTACCCTGTGGCAAGATTGGTGATGAATCTTTAGTTAGTTAAAGCAGGTGTTCCACATGAGGAATTTTGTAGATCTAGGAAATCATTTTCAATAGACTTGCCGATTTTGCTCTTTTGGGGTTTAGATGCCATTACAATAGTTAATTTAGACGTTCAAAGAAGCCAAGCCTCCCGGATAATGCTCGTTATAGGGGTTGGGTCGTCAAGTCCTGACGCGGAGGTTGTCACATCAATATAAACGCTTCGTAATATTAACGACCACTTTTGATGACTGTCATCACCCAACAACCGCGTTTGTATCTTCACCACTCCATCGAGAAACCCAATTGGATCCAGGGTGAAGGAAAAATCTCTATTGAACACGTCAACATCCGAAAACGTTCATCGTTCAAAGACCTCGTTATGCATCTTCACGAGAATGACTCCATCAAAAAACCCAGTTGTGCCTAGAGTGAAGCAGGCATCTCCGTGTCCACCTCTGAGGTCGGCCATCGCCCAAAGACCATACGTGTTCACGAAAATGACTTCATCAAAAAACCCAGTTGGGCCAAGGGGCAAAACCGGCTTCGGCGCCCCCTCCGCCTCCGGGGCCCGATTAATGTGGACTGATTAAATCTAACTGAATACATTTAAATTTGTCTTGACGCAAAAACGACTTGGAAAATTCTTTGACATGACCTTATTTTTAGCGAAAAATTCTACCCATTATGAACGAAGCGTCACCTGTTTCAGAAACCTCGACGCATCGAAATGTTCTACGCGTTCTCCATGTCTTCGGAGGCGAAGGGTATCTTCCGCCAGTACATGGCCAGTACTGCAGGTGAGTCGAATATAATAATATATAAAATACCTTTACTTCAGAATCCTGGTTCATCCTCCGTCTATTTATCTGCATGCTTTGGCGAAAACCGCCCCAGTAGGTTCCTCCTGATCGATAACTATTCAACCTCCTGGAGAACAACTTTTTTTGTTTAAATAATACACCGTACAATAGATAATTGTGTCGATCCGAGTTCATTGATTCTCCATATATTATTACACCGACCTTATTTGATTTAATCCTTGCGTATAAATTGCGTTACAACAGTTTGACAAAGACCATTACGTATTATTATAGACGTATAACAGCCCTTAAAATTTTTAAAAAAAAATCTCTGCAATTCACGATGATAAGTATTTACACTATTGTTAAACACATTAAAAGAAGATCGAAATATATCTCAATTGTGCATATCGCATTTTTCGTCCTTTTGTTTGATATATCGTTGGTCAGAAATATTCGCAATTAATTACATGAAATTTGGCACACAAAAAATTATGTCGATGCCTGGTGCGACTAACAACATGGAGATTTATTTCACTAAGAAGCTTTGTACATGAGTGACGTTTATCATCTACCATAAAAAGCATCAAAGTGATATTCTGAATAGAGAACCGATGGCACAGTTTTAACCATTCGTTATATTTTTTGGTATACCACTTTAGACCTAGCATGCAAATTAGATAATAAAAATAGTTGTTGGAAGACACCCGGGTCTTGATTTCATGGAGTCTGCCTCGCCCTGCCTCTGCTATATTAGCTTCATTGAACTTGGGTGTATAACAATGCACCCAGGTAACAATTCTTTTCAAAAATGTATCATGTTCTGCAAAGGTGAAAGCTTCTGTCCTGCTGTTCAAACCCTCTTGGGAAAAACTTTACAGAACCCTAGTCCTTTGCCACGACTTTTTTGACAGCTTCCGAAGTTCCAACGTCGATCGCTTTCAAGAATGTGTGGTGTTTAGTGACCGTTAGTTAAGTTTAGAGATGCGTTCTGGTGTGACGTAGGTTTAGAAAAACATTTTCTTTATCGTGCCATCATTTCCAATTAATAAAATTTTGTAAATGAAATAATATTTACATCCCTCACACTACTCTCTCATATCTAGAGATGTTTTATCGTAGTTCATCAACATTCCAATAGATACAACACTGCACATTATTAAAGATAAATGGACCAACATAACACCACACACAAGTCTATAAAAAACACGTTCATAACAATGGTTCGACACTGCTGTATTAACGGATATTTTACATTTAACAATCATTTTTACAAACAACTATTTGGTATAGCCATGGGTAGCCACCCCGATACTTGCAGACATAATTATGACACATCTATTCGTTCATCCCAGTCATCCCACAACTTCCTTTCACATTACCCTTCCTCACTAAATACGTAGATGATATAGTGACAGCAGTTCCCACAGATCAAATTCAAACTACATTAGATATATTTAATAGTTTTCACCCACGCCTACAATTTACACATGAAATCGAAAACAACAAAAAAATACCATTTTTAGATACACTCGTAATAAAACAACCAGATGGCAAATTAATCACAGGTTGGTATCAAAAACCAAGAAACACAGATCGCTACCACAACTCTTCATACAATAATAAACACGGCCAAAGGGTTACTTCACAGAATTATTACCCTAAACCATGAATCATTTCACCACAAGAACATAAAGATATACAAACAGATCCTCCATACCAATCACTACTCTAAACATATAATCAACAGAATAATCCATACCAATCACCATCCACTATTACTAATAATGCTACATCAAATCTATCAAATCCAGACAAACCAACATACATATTCGTGCCATTCATTCATGGCCTATCACATAAATTAAACACATTTCTCTCTTCCGATAACTTTAAAATAGCCTTCAAAAACTATAAAACAATTCACACACTTTTTTCCAAAATTAAAGATCCCATAAACGTAACTTTTTAGAAATGGTTTGCATCAACAGAGATAAACACAGCTTCAATTACAGAACGGACATTTGTAAACTCAGTCGCAACTACTCTAATATCATTAATCAAATTCAATATCGATAACATAAATATATCACTCAAAACATATAATACAACATATAAAACAATCATTACATTCCACACATATAACATTTCTACACAGTCTAATTCTTCAACAATTTGGCTTTCCTTTCCCTAATTATCCCCGTCTATATAATCTTGAAAGGATAATCAGGCAGAACCATTACCTATTTTTCCCATTGTCGGCTCCTTTCACGTCAAAGAAGCCGACTCCTCTCATAAAAACGTTTTTTCTATCCATACTTCCTTCTCCACCCCTTCAAAATCCAATATGAACATAAAACATCAATATCTCAACACGACACCCAATAATGACACATTTACACAGAAAAAAAAAACCCTTTGAGTGAGTACAAATACGTTGATTGAGTCTAAAATTTCTAGCATTGTATAAATTCATTTTTTCACATCCTATATTTATATAATTTGTACAATATAAACAATTATTCAGAAATCGTGAGATGCGGTCTGGTGTGATGTAGGTTTCAGAAAAACGTTTTCTTTATTGTGCCAACGTTTCGACCTTTATTGAGATCATCTTCGCCTGGGAGTGACCGTTAATCGATAATTATTCAGAAATCGTGAGATGCGGTCTGGTGTGATGTAGGTTTCAGAAAAACGTTTTCTTTATTGTGCCAACGTTTCGACCTTTATTGAGATCATCTTCGCCTGGGAGTGACCGTTAATCGATAATTATTCAGAAATCGTGAGATGCGGTCTGGTGTGATGTAGGTTTCAGAAAAACGTTTTCTTTATTGTGCCAACGTTTCGACCTTTATTGAGATCATCTTCGCCTGGGAGTGACCGTTAATCGATAATTATTCAGAAATCGTGAGATGCGGTCTGGTGTGATGTAGGTTTCAGAAAAACGTTTTCTTTATCGTGCCAACGTTTCGATCTTTATTGAGATCATCTTCAGGGCTCAAAGTGTTTGTCTTCTGTGTAATTGTGCCATTCTTGCGTGTCGTGTTGAGAGTGCTACTCTCTGATGATCTCAATAAAGATCGAAACGTTGGCACGATAAAGAAAATGTTTTTCTTCACACCAGACCGCATCTCACGATTTCTGAATAATTATCGATTAACGGTCACTACTCACTACACACAACAATATAAACAATGTTTATACATCCCAGGCGAAGATGATCTCAATAAAGGTCGAAACGTTGGCACGATAAAGAAAATGTTTTTCTGAACCTACGTCACACCAGAACGCATCTCACGATCTCCAAATAACGCTTGCAAGAATATTCTCTCTCTCTCTTAATGTGAATAGGAACCATCTTTTTTAAAAAGGATAGAATATTCTCTTCCGAAATGCAGGTCTGAGGACGGCGACATTCCTCATTTTACACTCGTTCGCGTGTTTGTCCTCCGAACTGAGAAATCAAACGTGAAAAGATGTCAGATGGTTTTGTCCGTGATGAAATTTAATAATAGGGCGCACTTGTTGCTCTGATATCGTGAGGGCACGACCACCGGCTCTACCCATCGGGTAGTACCCAATCCTGATCTACACAAACGTACTCTAAAAGCAGCCGTCCATACATTGTCCCAGTTGAGAGGAAGAACGTTTGCAAGTGGAAAGAAGAGTTCTTCGACATATTCTTCCCATAACGGCTTCTTTCAAACAAAACTCCAAGGATACTGACAAGTTTCCTACCGGAATTGAAATATGTAAATAAGGTCGATTATATTTATTTAAACGACTGTTATCACATTTGAACAGGACTAATTACACTTAACATATGTAAAAATGTATCACAAAGAAATCAACGTGGATATTGCTTTTTTTGCGCTAGAATAATTAGACGATCAAAAATAGGACCTAGCATAGTGGATTAATGTGAAATCTGTGTCAAATAGAGAAAATATTGAAAAAAGATAGATAGAGAGAGAGGGGGGAAGAAAGAGAGAGAAAGAGGAAGGGAGGGAGAGAGAGAGAGAGAGAGAGAGAGAGAGAGAGAGAAAGAAAGATTGCGATAGAGAGAGGGTGATAGAGAAAGAGAAAGAAAAGAGAGAGAGAGAGAGTGAGGGTGGAATGCGAAACATCGATATTTCAAACAAACATATATCCATATTTGTTACTTGTAAATTGATCATTGCCCACACATCAAAGCTATATTTATAGGACATGTCTTGTTCATTTAAAACACTCACCCAACCCTATCCGACCCTAACTCTAACCTAATTTTCCATTTAGCAATGGGCCAACGGAAAGTTACACTATACTTGTCCTTCTTGATTTTTCCAAAGCCTTCGATTCTGTCCCTCACTCTTCCCTCCTCTCTGAACTCGAATCTTTTTCCTTCTCCGCCAGCACCATCCATTGGTTCCACTGCTACCATACCAATCGCTACCAAGCAGTCTCCCTTCCCAATGGCCTTTCCTCCTCTTTTCTCCCACTAAAATCTGGGGTGCCCCACGGCTCTAGCATCTATCCTATTCTTTTTTCCATTTATATTAACGACCTGCCTACTCCTTCCAGTTCTGTAAATACCACCTATACGCCCATTACTCCCAAATATACATATCTTTCCACCCTTCCGATCTTCACACGGCCATTTTCAAGATACAAAAAGACTTAAACTCCATCAACGAATGGGCACATAAAAATTCCCTAGTCCTCAATCCGTCAAAATCCACCGCCATAATTATCGGGTCCAGGCAACTCCTCAATTCCCTCCCCAGCATCCCACCTCTCATGCTAAATAACCATCCCATTCCCTTCTGCTACTCGGTTAAAACCCTAGGAGTAGTCTTTGACCAAAACCTTTCCTGGCATCCTCACATTTCCCAAATTTCCCGCCATTGTATTGCTTCCCTCAGCCTGTTTCGTCGGTCCTGGCTTCTCTTCCTTTCCTTCACCCGCAAACTCCGTGTATCTTCCCTTCTTCGATTATAGCTGTGTGGCATACGGTGGTCTCTCGGAGGGGGGAACGTGCGAATGAAGCGTATATGGATTTTTGCGTAAAATTCTAGTTCGGCACCCCACGGGGGTCCCGGGTGTCGGGGTTGTATTCCCAACTTTTCTGGCTCTTCCCCTCCTTTCGTGCACAGTATTTCCTAGGTCGCTTTCTTTTCCAGTCCGTCCACACTCGTCGTCCTCCTTACATCACCCAATCCCTCCAATTCAACTCCTCACATCACACTCGTAACACCCGCTCATCCCAAATCGACCTTATCCTTCCGCAACATACAACCCATACCTTCGAAAGATCCTTCTGACCCGATCCCCTAAACTCTGGAACACCCTTCCCCTTCCCCTTCCTATTCGTCCTTTTTCCGCTGCCTCCTTTTCCTCCTTTAAATCCCACCTGTATAATCACCTCCTCTCCCTCCAAGCAGAGACCTTACGTTATTATTTGATCATTTTTGTTTAATATTCTTGTAATTTTCTCTTCTGGCCTGCCTTATTGGTATACATTGTGCCAAGATTTCTATCTCATTTTACTTTTAATTTCATAGAAGGAACTTCCTTTATTTATTTCATGTATATTATTGTTAGGGGATACCAGTCCTAGAATTAAGTTATTTTTCTTCTTAACTATTCAACCCCTTAACCTCACCCAACCCATATGCACTCACTACTAACCAGAAAGATAAATTAAAAAAAGAAAGAAATAACAACAAGAGCGATAAATAGAATTTGTACTTTCTGTATGCTCACTTTGCGAGCGCTGAACTTTCTTTCATACAAGAAGTGGGACATATTTTCATTTGCACGGGAGTTTAGACATTTCTTTCTTCTTTAAAATAGGCTAGCAACTCACCTGCGCCCATTCCAGGTAAAAATCTTTTGATAGTCAACTTAAGTCTAAAGTCATCATCTCAAAGGCGAGGGATTATCCAAGAAAACTATTCCAGACAAAAAAAAACCAGATAAATGTGTATATCCAATTCCAATTCGGAATTATTCCAGATGGTCGAAGGACAAATACAGTTGAATGTATTGAAATGTTTTTATTGTTTCAGCCACAATTGCTGTGATTATGACTGGGAACGCCATGGGCTGGCCTTCGCCGACGATGCACTTGCTTCTCGGTCCGGATTCTCCAGTGCCCATGGACACCGGGGGTACTTCCTGGATGGTCTCGCTCATGTACTTCGGGAATCTTTTCAGCCCGATCCCCTGCGGCTACATAATGGAATGGATCGGAAGGAAAAAGACCCTCCTTTTTCTCAACGTGTTACCCATCACGTCGTGGCTCTTCATCCTGTTCACTCGTACGCCTTACTATCTTTACTTGGCGAGGTTTCTGGCAGGGCTCTGGCTCGGCATTGTCTACACCGTCGTGCCTATTTATCTGGGCGAGATCGCAGAACCGAAGGTCAGGGGATCTCTCAGCACTTTCTTCGCCATAATGACCTACTTGGGCGTGCTTTTCGAGTACGCCGTCGGTCCGTACGTGTCTTACAACGTCCTCGCGATCGTATCAGGATCTTTCGGAGTCTTATTCTATTTGACTTTCACGTGGATGCCCGAGTCGCCTTACTTTCTGTTGAAGGTCAAAAAGAGGGACGAAGCTAGAAAATCTTTGTATTGGCTAAGAGGCGATCCGGCGAACGTCGACGAGGAACTTTGCCGTATCCAAAACGCCGTCGAACAGCAAATGTGCACCAAAGGCACGATAAAAGACCTGTTCGCCACAAGAGGAAACCGAAAGGCCGTCATCATCGTCGGAGTACTTTCCATCCTCCAGAGATGTTCTGGAATAGGCGCGATGATAGCTTACACTTCGGTCACCCTGCCCAAAGACGCCCTCGGACCCATCGGGCAAAACGAATGCGTTATAATACTCGGGGTAGTCTGGGTCGTGTCCACATTTATATCTTCGCTCATCGTGGACAAAGTGGGCCGTAAATCCCTGTTGATAATATCTTCCATCGGCTGCGGTTTGGCGACTTTCCTCGTCGGACTTTGGTTCTTCTTGTCCGACAACACCGATGTCGATTTGACTCCAATCAACTGGGCGCCTTTCGCTTGCTTCATGATGCACGGCTTTTTCTACTCGATAGGCCTGAACCCTATCGTGACGACGATCAAGGGCGAGGTCTTTTCGGCAAACATAAAAGGTGTGGCATCAGCTCTCACTACGCTTATGTTGGCTCTATCTTCGTTTTTCCTGAACAAATCTTACCAAATGTTCGCCGACAGCGTTGGCATGTACATGAATTACTGGCTGTACTTACTCGGCTGCTTAATCGCTATTGTTTTTACAATGACCTATGTTATAGAAACAAAGGGTAAAACCCTACAAGAGATTCAAGACAAGTTGAACGGCGTGGACAATGATAACGCCATAAACAAATCGTGATCAATATTAAATTTTAATGTATATCCTTTACGCTTACAATATTTTATACTTTTAAAAAATGTTATAAATGGTTTAAAACTTTATAAAGCTGTTAGATTTTATCACTTTAAATGCACATCGTAGAATTGCTGGAAACTGTGTTAATGCCTGCATTGGTTTTGGCTGTTACCATTTTCCCCAAGACAAAGCCAACGAAAACAGGCGGACCATGATGATCGGAGACGATTCATTTACTGTGGCAAAACTTCACAAGTTTAAAGATTGAACTGCTGTCAGGCACCAGTCATCATGGATATGGACGAGAAATGTTACGAAGACGCTTAAAATTAAGTCAGAGCAAAATTCTAATTTGTATCGAGGAAATAATGTAAACCTCATGCCAAATGAATATTTTCATAAGCATTAGTTTAATGTCAATTTGGATTAATGGAATAATCTCAAATTTCAACCCATCTTCCATAGTTTTAATATATAGGAAATATTTTTGATGTCAAAAATACATTGAAAAGCTCTAAATTTTTTCTATCACAACCTTTATTTTATTGAATATTATAGTTTGATTTATTTTTTAAATTAGGAACGTGTAAAAAAATTGTATTTAAATGTTAATGTTAATGTCGAACATGTCTTGGAGTCATTGTCATCCATAATTGCACAATACCTCTACTCAGCAATTCAATTTAATTCTACTTTTAACTCAAATATGCCACGTAAAACAATTGTTTGATGCACTGTCAAAAGAAAGGCTGTTTTATAATTAAAAAGTGTTTAATTATTTACAAAAGATTCGAGTGACATTTATGCACATGCAGGTAACTTTTAGATGTATGTAAGCAAGGTGAATTTGACAATTTATGTGTACTCATAAAAAGCCATGTATTTTCAACTATATTTCAATTGAATCTGTGACTAAAATATTTTCCAATAGTTCCCCATTTCACAATTTGACATGTATTGCCTTCTTCAATTTCAAAACAGTAAGCACAGGACAGGATGACTGGACCAGATTTGTTCAACGCTCTCATTTTTTAGGGTAGGACGTATTATTAGTGGATAAGGAGAGGGATAAAAGAGGTGGCCACAAGTCCTTCTGCACCGAGACCTGTATAAATCTATTGTGCTCCTCTAATTTTATAAATCACTGGCTAGCTTCAGGTTGTTAATCGACCTCCATGACTTGCCAGCAGATCCTTAGCCTCCTACATAAACCTCACAGAAAGATAAAATGTCTTCTGTGGTTTCCTCTTCTTCTTGGCAGTGTTTCTTCTGTATGTACTTCCAGTTGTGCCTTTTAGGCGGCACTGCCTTGTCAGGAATATAACCAGATATCTTGATTCTGTTGCGGTTGGCCTCCAGTAATTCCTTTGTAAGTCTTGCGAATGGCCCTTCTATGCCAGGGGTATTGTTCCACCAGGTTTTGGGACTCATTAAGGATCCATTTATGGATGTATGCTTTTCTGTAACAAGGGGGTTTGGGGCCTAGAGAATCCATATTGGCTCCTTTTTTGGCCAAAATCTGCCCTCTCATTGTCTCTATGATCCCAATGCACAGTGATGTTAATGCAAGCGAACTTCTCTGATGGATCATCACACATGAAAATTTTTTATTTCTTTTAATAGTAAGTAAATGAAAAAATTGACCAACATATAAAATATATTTTATTAGAACTATTTATCATATTTCATACACATTTATCAACAACAAAGTTTTTGTTGAGACATGGAATGAAACAAGCCCTTTTTTATGCTATGATTAATTAACAACAATCCTGCAAATAAAGTTGTCCAGGCACATGGGAAAAAAACACTTCACATTCACATATTGTCTTCACTTCCTGGAAAAACAATCATGGACCCTGTGTAACCTAAATATCCTACTAACCCAACCTCTCCCTAATGCCTAGTGCGCACTGGGATTCTTTTTTGGGCTCTGTCGCAGAGCTGTGTCTGGGATTCATTTCCTTGCATCGGAGAAGCTTCGCAACAATAAATCTTGAATCTGGTGTGTTGCATTTTAATATTTTTTGAATCCCATCTTAAATGGACATGATTTCCAGAACGACAATGTTGCGGGGCGAGGAGTCTGCGACAGAGTCCAAACAAAGATTCCCAGTGTGTACTAGGCTCAACCCTACTGCCTAGCCTAACCCAACCAATTTGCGGTCCCAACATTAATGACATCCATTACTCCAAGTTAATATTGTATGGATAAAGATCAAGAAAATAGACTGGATGTGCAAAGATTTCATATCTGGTATGAGCATTGTTCATGCAAGGCATCAGTGTCTGCAACGGTTACGGCGTTTTAAAAGCGGGCGCTCAACAATGTAAGGTAAATTCAAACCCAACATACTTACATTTTTTTCAAAAACACTGGCATCACGAGGATAGTATTGTAGTTGAAACACCCTTATACAAAATTAACTTAATTTTTTTTTTAATATTCCCTTCATAAAACATGTTGCCACAAAGGAATTCATACTCAGAAAACGAGAAAAAGAATTCAGTAGTCAAGCTCTAATCCTCATAGACACCATCCCATACCATCTCTTCATAATAATCATCCCCAACATCTTAAGATAGTGGCACTATAACTTGCAAACAAAAGGTGAGATTAATTAATAATGATTTAGGCCGGCACCTCATTAGACAGAATGTGACAGAAGTTTCTGTTGCACAAGCTTACATTCAAAACACACAGCCAGCGACAGACTGGACGGAAATTCCGTAATGGAAATCTCCATTGAGCTCCATTGATACATGGCAATAGGGATGCCAAGAGAAAAGTCATACAGACAATAGAATGGTCCAAGTGATACCCTTTTCATATTCAATGGATGAATCAAATGTTTTCTCGTTCTCCATTGCTTTGTTCCCATCTCAACCCCACCTTTTTGTCATTTGTCGCTGAGAATCAAATAGATTACACTACATTTGAAAAATGGCAAAAAGGAGGGAAAATTCAAAAAGGTGGGGTTGAGATGGGAAGTCGGTCTCAGAGTGGATCAGTCACGACAGTTCAAGTGGTAGAGCAGCGGCATATTTAGCGAAGATTGTGGGTTCGAATCCCGCTTGTGACATTGCCTTTTTTTTATCTCAACCAATACCTTACAAAAAGATTAATTAATTGAAAAAAGTTATTTGGTCAATCGGACCACGAACTCTAATGGATTTATTAAGACATTATATTTGGCATAATTCAATTTATTAATCAGTTTTATAACAAGTTGTTCATCTCTGGGTCTTTTTTATCTCAACCAAAGCCTTAATTAATTGAAAAGATATTTGCAAATACCATACCCATAGCGAGCAGTTATCATATACCCTCCACTAACAACCAATTCTGTATTATGATCCCTTGAATTGTCCAAAACAATCGAAGACCTCGAATTGTCGGCTCTGAGGAAAACACTGAATATTTTTCCTTTTGTCTTCTCCACTCATTTGAACAATTACCTGGAGATTGTAAATCGAATATGCAAAAAATACCGCAAACCACTGAACTGAAGACCATTCTCAGGCAAAGAGAAGTTTTGAATTCAGGTCCTCTGACAGAGCAAAAAGTTGTTACTCATATTCATCTGATCTTCAAGCAGTTCGTATAGAGATTTGTACTCCTCAAACATTTCGGAGCTTTATGTATCGCATACTCGTGCCCAAAACCTTGCCTTATGGTAAGACCAAGTTTCATAAAGATTCAATTTGAAAGGAACTCCGATGGCATTCACAGCATATCTTATTAAACAGTCATTGCTAATAAGTGCCACATCATGCCCCACAAACTCATCATCGCACAAATAATATACATTGAGTTGGTTAGAACTACAATGAGATGGAATACATCAAAAGTTGAGTTCAGTTCATTTCCTTTCCTTGCTGACCCCAAACAGAAATTCTCACTTTCCAACCAAACATCACAACTTTTTTCATATTTATTACACACAAAAAAATTGTTTAAAATTGAGTAAACAGATGGTTCCAACCATCAGTTTACAGTTTATTTTACATTTGGGGGAAGAGGAATATTCAATAAAAACAGTCAACGATTAAAAGAAACTCTCTATTCACCCCTATTCTTGGTTAGAATCGACATTTTTTGTTTGTAATTGTTTAAAAGATGCGACAGGGACATAGGTGACAAGTGTATACAATTTGTTGGGAGAATCTTCATCGTCATTCCTCCTCCTGGCCAATCGTACTCGAACACGGTAAGGAACATTTCTGAAATGTAGAAGAAAAAACACATTGGCCATTTTGTAAAACAAATAATATAAGTGTTAGTTTGGATAAACAAAATATTCCAACAAGGCAAAAAGGTTAAACTTACTTTTTTTTAAACTCAATTGAAAGAAATATTCTTTAAAAAATTCATCATTAACTAACTATTCATACCAAAATGAAATACGACAAAATTTAAATTTACAGTATTTACACCACTTATATTGTATTTACAATAAACTGGGTGAATTTAATTTTTCTATTATTTTACACCTAAAATTAATCATTCAACCAGGCATTAACACATTCAATGTGCACTCATGGGTGTAACTACTTTTTTTAAAATAATAATTTTCTTAAGCATTATGATCTATGTCAGCTGATGCCTGCTGTTGAAAGTCCTTGAAGACTGTAGAATTCAATAAAAATTCACAATAATAATAATAATAAAAAAGAATGAAGCATATCAAGCGGAAATGACCATTATTAAACAAAATAAAACAAAAAATGTACCTAATTCCTTTACTCCAGACTTGTTTGTTGAGGTGAGTGTCTATACGCACGTCTGGAGTTCCCATCTGTTTGACAGCAAATTTCCTTATTTCTTTGATAGCACGAGGGGCACGCTTTTTAAATCCGATCCCGTGAAGCCTTTTGTGGAGGTTGATGGTGTACTCACGAGTAACCACCTCATTAATAGCAGACTTGTTTTTCTTGTCTGGTTTAACTTTGGCCATTCTAAAATATCAACAATAAATATTAAATGGAAGTTTGTAAATGTTTTAACTACCCTAAGAGAAGTATCCTCCATATTTTGGTCAGTCACATGAAAAAATAAATAAATAACAAAACTACAAGAAGTTCATCACCCCACTCAGTCCTTAAAATGAAATCTCACAAATTAGTGTAACAGTGTTAAACACGATATATTCTTTCAATTAATATTCAAATAACAAAAAAATTTAAAAAAATATTCAAAACAGCCAAAGCTGTGGTCACCTTGGATTTATAATACCACTCCCAAAGTATGAGATTGACTTTCTTCAATTAACGAATGTGTTAAATTTGAATTTTATTACCTTCAGATCTAAATATTTGTGAGATTACTGACCCATCAATCATCATGATGATAAGCAAAAAATTAAATAAATAAATAAATAAAAAAAGGACATGACTAAACTACATGTTAAACAAATATTTTTGGGGGACGTCGGCGTCAGTGGCTGCAACAGTTAAGACACAGCGCTTAATCACTGTAAGTAAAGGTCCCAGGTTCAAATGGAGCAGCATGCTCGAACCTGGCATACTTTCAAACGGGCAGGGTTTTTTTTTTTAAACACCAGCACCCTGAGGGTTGATACGACCTCTGCTGTTGTGAACCCTCGTTTAAAAATGAAGAAAAAGAAAAAACCATCCAACATACTAAACCAGCGAAGATAGATAGACCACGATTGTCAGAACAACCGGGCTATAAATTCACATCGTGAAACGTCGCTGTGGTGTGATAAACCAGTTCATTTGGTCATAACTGATGATCCTGATCCACCTATCCTCACCGTGTTGCTATACTAGAAACATTTCAGTATTTCACTATCTTCAGTGTTGGGTCTGAATAGAGAAATATCAAAATGTATCTGACAAAGTTCCATCCCGGTCCACTTGCACTCACTGTGTCAGTCTGTCAGGCGCATATTGGCATTTCGCCATCTTCAGTGTTGTGTAAACAGTGACAGACCGTATGTCTATCATACCAAACCAGCCAGGATAGACCAGATCATGGTAATAAAAGACGGTCTATATAACTTCAGATTGAGATTTCTGTGTGTAATCCATGAGCCAATAAACCTCTAATTTTGTCGATACCCATCATCCAATGAGTCGATATGTTAATAGGTCTGAATGGCAAAATTCCAAAACACTTCTGACAGAACGAACAAATTACACCTAATTGTTTAAAACAATGCTTATCATTTTCAGGGCTGGGTACTTCGAAACAAGAACAAAATTGTTAACAAATTTGTCAGTCATTCTTGAGTCTAGTCAGTTATTCTTGTCTGTTGGTGTCTTTCACGGAGTCTAGGTTAGTTCGTCAATCCATGTAAATCTCAATTTAATTTTATTGGTAAAACTTACAAAATCAATCACAACCTGTCATCGTGACTAAAATCACCAAAAGTGCAGATGCGGTTTTCTTACTTTCGGAGAATACTGAGCGTGTGACAATACTCGCTACCATCAGATCAATCTGAAGCATTTGAAACATTGAGCCTGCGGTTCCAAACGCAAACACGCATAAAGCATAAATGATCAGTTACGGTGTAGTTTTGCTATCTAACGTTCGAGTCCATTCAATAGCATACTAAAACTTTGGAACATTCGAAAAACATACGGTTCGTCTAGTTACTTGACTTGAAACGAATTCGTTCTAGGGTTTACAAAATACGAATTCGACCCGAAATTAGTTCGTCAACAGCAGTCACCCTCACTTGAAACCTGTTTTTTATTCAGTAGTAAGGTTACATGTTGCTGTTAGTAGGTTTTAGTAGGAAAACGTTAAAAAGTACAAAATCTAATATTTGCTACATTTAAAGAGATGACTGTGCGTTGTTGTTTTTGTAAGAGAATGAGTTAAGAAAAGAAAACTCCGATATGGCAGTGCGTCCGGTCATGAGGTGTCGTAGGTTAATTAACGTCCAGTCCGTGACACGAGACAACATTTATGCAGAGTCTCAAATGCATAATTTAATAAAGCGTCCGAATACGATTTCAACATAGAAACGAATCACACTTACGTCTACAGCTGTAAAGCCGGGATGTTTTCCGATGTACTTTCTAACACTATACAGTGTAAGAGACACGATGACGGACGTGTGTATGGAAGCGAGGAGATTGGGACCAGCGGTTAGGATCGACACGGGTCGGAAACATCGATAGTTTGAGGCGACCAGCGACACCCACGATATTTTTTAAATATTCAACAGCATTTTATATTCATGCGGGTTATTTTTCATTTTAAAAAATTATCCTAATTACTTAGAAATAAACTCGATTGATATTTTAACAAATGGTTTTAATTTTTAATTAACATATATTTCACCTTTCTTCTGTCTCCTTGGCACAACTGCAATTATATAACCTTATCAATTGCAAACCACAAAATAACAACATAAACGTTCTGGTTATTAAAATTATTCCATATAATTTATTGTCTATAAATCAGATCTCGTACAAAGTGATATCTGGTCCTATTTTGATGAAATTCTGAAAAATCAACGTTGTTGTGTACAAAAAATAAATTTATAAGAAATTTATCTTTTGTACAAATCCACAGCACACAGCTTTGAGACTGCATAAGTTGAAAACTAACTAATTCACTAATTAATCAAATTAGAAGTAGTTAAACGGTCGTGAAAAAAAAATAGTTGGTTACAGTTAGGGATTTTTATGTATTAAAAAAGTCAAAATATGTACATGCTTATACATATAAATTAAGTTATACCTATGTTTTACTTGGTCCTATTAAACAGAGCAATTGAATTATTATGTTTTGTACAAAGTATGTTTGAGTTGAAAAATTAGTGTCACGTGTGGGACTTGAACCAATTTTGGATCAGTATCCCGGCGCTTTTACCACTTGTGCAACCTTGGTGAAAACGGTATAAGCGCCGGGGTACTGATCCGGAATTCGGTTCGAGTCCCGCTTGTGACTAATTTATCAACTCAACCATACTTTGCATAAAATATCAATTCATTATATATTAATGTTTTGATGCAAGAAACCAAGTTAAAAATTTTTTTTTTAAATATAAAACTTACAAACTAATATATGTTCAATACAAGAGAAGAATATCCTGAATTTTAATGTAATTAATAAATTTTATGGTCAAATTTTGTGATATAATTTGTTGATGGATGTTTAACATATGGTCAAGTTAATAAATACTCCAGATACTCCTCTAAATACTTTTTATCTAAGGTTTTTGGTTGAAATGAAAAAGTGTCATGAATGTGATTCGAACCCACGACCTTGGGCTAAATACGCTGCGCCGCTTCTCTAACCACTTGAGCTATTGAGACTTCGGTCCACCGGGACACCAACGCCTCATCTCAACCTACAACCGTTCGAATTTTCCCTCTTTTTACCATATTTTCAAATGTGCAATTAGGATTAGATTCTCAGTGATTTATGAAGTGGCCACGGGGAGCTATTAGTGAAGTAATTACTTCATTTTAATTATTAAATTAATCCATATTTGCTTAGTGGTCATAATTGACAATATTAATTATTCCAATGAATTGTACTTGTTATCTAAGGTTTTTGATTGAGATGAGGTTGTCCGAGGGGATCGAAGTCACAATAGCTCAAGTGGTTAGAGAAGCAGTGTATTGAGGAGAACGGCATGGGTTCGAATCCCCTTCGTGACACTAATATTTCAACCCAACCAAAAACCTAAGATTAAAAAAAATAATTAATTGGAATAATTATTACGGAAATATAAAATAGAATACAATATACACACAAAAAATGAAATTTAGACATCCCAAAATGAACATGACTGTAGCAGTACTGTTGAAGCAATAATCTTTATTTATTTTATAAATATTTACATCATAGTTATCAACTTCCTTCACTCTAATTGAAATACCTGGAAATTTCAATTTGTATTTTTTCCTTTATGAGACTGTTTTGTATGACATGAAACCTATGCCTGCCTGCTTTTAATTTATCTTTTATAAGTCGTATAAATATATAACTATGCACTATATATTTATTATATGCACTATATATTTTATTCTGTCAAATTAACCATTTTTAATTTGAAATTAACCCTTTTTTTTGGAGTAAATTAACCCATCTTCATCTCAAATTAGCCCTTTTTACCTTCATATATACATACTAATATTTTTTTAATATGATAGTAACCCTTTTTAGCTTCATACATATTAATTCCATTATGTTTAGTGGTCTAATTGACCAAATTACTTCATTCAATTGATTATTCTTTTTATGTAAGGTTTTGGTTGAAATTAAAAAGAATAATTAATTGAAATATGTAATAATCTTTTTTACTATGAAAGTTACCATTTAAAACTTCATATTAACCTTTTTTTAAATGTCAAATTTACCCTTTTTAACTTCATATTAACTTTATTTAACAAGAAAATGACCATTTAAAACTTTATATTAACATTTTTAAATTTCAAATTAACTCTTTTTAACTTCATATATACATATTATCTTATTATCTTTTGTTTAATACGAAAGTTACCATTTATAATTTCATATTAACCTTTTTTTAAATGTCAAATTAACCTTTTTTAACTTCAGATTAACGTTTTTTAATATGAAAATGACCATTTAAAACTTTATATTAACATTTTTTAATTTCAAGTTAACCCTTTTTAACTTCATACATACATATTAATCTTTTTTTAATACGAAAGTTACCATTTATAATTTATATAAACATTTTTTAATTTCAAATTAACCATTTTTAACTAAATATTAACTTTTTTAAATTTCCAATTAACCCTTTTAAATTCAAATAGTTAAAAATTAAAATAAATTCAAGTAGCTTTACATAAAAACGAACAAAAAGAGATTGACTATTCAAAGATTACGAAATCCAATTGTAAACACAAGTGTGAGATTTTATCTGTTTTATTTACTTCTAAACCTTTAAAATGGACCAAATATTGTGGTAAGATAATCAATGGAGGATTGTCTAAGATACAATTAAAAATAAGGGTGGTCACTTTTTTGTTTCTCAGTATATCTATCTATTATGATAAAGAAATATGTAAAAAAGTTAATTGCCAAGCTGTGGGCTGGGGTGAAAAAATAACAATAGATCCATTCCTTATATTTCATTTGGGTGTGTATGTTTCTGATAATAATCAGGTTATTTACATTTTTCTTTTCATAACTGTATATTATATAAATCTTGTCATGTTATTATCAGGGCAGGAAAAACAAAATACACTGACAGGCAAAAAATTCCACCCACTTGTAATATAACATGATTTGTATATATATTTTTATATATTAATCAAAGTTTCACGTTTTTTAGTGTTTAATAATTGATTCTTTCTCTTCAAAAGCAAAAAAAAAAAAATTGCTAAGGAAAAACAATTAAAATTAATTAAAAAAAAGATGGACAGGTAAAATTTGTTTTATTTTTGTTTTAGATATTTAATTAACTTTTCAATATCATCCTCTTGCCTTAATTACATCTCAAAGATGCCTCGGCAGGACCCAGTTTCTCGAAAACATCTTACAGCGTCTCGCAGTGTTTTTCAGGGAACTCCGATGGCAATAGCCGCATACCTGATGGAACATCCTCACCATTAAGTGGCGTTTTTAAGTTTAAAAATTGAAGTTAAGAAAGCAAAGCTGAAAACTAAACAGTTTATTGCTTCAGATTACAAATGAGACTGAATAAACATCTTAAATTCCGTAAAAAGTAAATATGGAAAAATCCTTAATCCTTGTTTCGGATAAAGGATTAAGGGTATTTACCCCTAATTGATATTCAAAATTTAAAACATTGCATAAATAAATGTTTATTGGTAAAAACAATGAGACAAATTAAGGGAACAATTTTCTTTAAGGAGAAAATGATAAAAAATCAATTGGGCGGATTTTTTTTTTTTTTATGGCTTTATGTTCTATGCATATTAGCCAATGACAGACAATATGTTATGTTTTTTTTTGGAGGGGGAAGGGTATCGTGAAAAAAATGCGAGGGCGGGAATTGAACCCACGACCGCCGGGTCTATGGAGATGTCCGAAGCGTCCTATCATACCAGTGTGAAAAGCTAAGCAAATAAAAACAAACGAAAAACAAAGCTTCTTAGCACTTTGTGAATATTTTGTATATATGTTTGATGAAATGTTTGTTTTGAGATATCGCCTGTCGGACGGAATCGAAAAATGGCGCATTTTGTGTCGATGGGGGGGGGCGCCGTACTTTTACACTTTCTTTCATTTGAAAGTGTTTGCCAGAATTAGTTTAAATAATAAATATATAATGTTAATTTCAAAAACTGAGCTTTTATGATTTTTAAATTGAATTTCTGATGGTAATTTTATAGTTTTGCACCTCGTCGATTTCGAGTCGTCGTCGGAGGGGAGGATAGACGCGTCCGGGCAACACTGCGTTTCTGGTTAAAAGATGTAATGACGCCATTTGACTATTTGAGAATTGGACAAATGAGAAATTAACCCTCGGATTGGGCCATCGAAACTCTTCCCAGAGTCTCCACGAGTTGTAAAAGGCCGACGGTCGCCAATTACGCGTGACATTATGTTGGATAGTGCACTTAAATTATTAAAGGTAAGTGGTTGAGTTCCGTTTTCCCGTGGAAAGACACCGACCGCACGGCCCGAGTCGTGCCAGTGGAGAAATCCCCAACGTTCACCAATACGTCCTTTAAATTGAACAAAAAAAGGGCCGAGCGTTCCAAATCCGATTTTCCTACCAAAAAAAATCCGTTCTCGCCTTTTGGACGGCAATTAAATTCTATTAAAAAAAAACTTCGGTCACGATATAACCAAAATCTGTCGTTTTGTTTCCCATCAAATTGAATTAACTTTTGTTTACGTTTTTGTTCATTTAATTTCGAGAGATCAGATTTTTTGTTTTAACGTCCTGCCAGGGATTTCGAGATATATATATTTTTTTAAAGATAAAAACGAGAAAGAGATCGGTCCATTGTTGTGATTGCGACCCTGGTATACATAACAATTTCCATATTTCAATAAGAACGATTCGATAGGTTGAACGATTCTTGAAATGTTACAAGGAAATATTATTTGTGTACTTTAAATTGAATAATTTCCTTCGTTCTTTAACGTCTTCCTTTTTATTTTATTATCCATTTTATGATAATCGCCCGTTCTCCCCATAAAAAGTCGATATATTTTTTTTTGCCTAGACAGTATAATTTGTTATTCGAATCTACGAATATTGTTCCTAACGGAATGCCGACGATTGCACGGGTCGCCCGTTGCATTTTTTCCCCCAGTTTTTAATATTGACGTTCGTTGTGTTTATCTCGCTCTGCCCCGGCGAACGGTCGAGATAAAAGCGTTTTTTTCCTCTCTCCTTTTTTTTCTCTTCTTTTTAATTGTTAAGGATAATTCTTAAGATTGTATGGATGAAAATTTATTGCCTTCTCCGCTCGTTAAATCAAGAGATTACAGACCTTTGTTCTGATCGCAAAACTGTTCCGATGCAGTTCATGTCGACGCGCGTGCACATCTCGCCCCCTTTTTGTTGTTTTTCTTTTTCCCCCCAAAAATTACAGCCTTCCTTTTTTGACAAAGCGGCCTGATTTGAAATTTCGGAATAAATGTTCCCGAGTGACGTGAACGGACTGTCAATTCACAGTAAGAACATCTGTAAATGTATTGTTTTTGCACAACATTATGCACAAATGTGCTTGACATCTTTGTTTGACCATATAAAATGCAATACAAAAAATTATTCATACTCTTGGTTTAGGATTTTCTTCTTTAATTTCATTTTGTAACTAACCCTTTTCTACACTCACAGATAAAAAACAGGACACTTTTATTCATTTATTTTCTATAATAACTAGGTGTTATCATTCCCATTAAAACAGAAAACATTAAATTTTAACTCAACATTAAAAATTACACTATCTCAAAAGGTTGAAGGCTTTTTTTCAAATTCAACTTTCTTTTTTATGTTAACTTTACTGATGTAGGGCTTTGTATGGGCAGATTAAAGACTACATGTTTTAATGGTATTAAGAACCGTTTGAGGTGTTAACACGAATGTCATCCTTTTGAAGATTTAGGGCACTAGTAGAAGACTCACATTTCACAATTTAAAGAATCACCATTGGTTAATACACTGATGGACAAAATAAAAATGTAAAACAAAACTTGTTTGTCCACTTTAATACCGAGTATTTCCACCTCAGGCACGAATTGTGTCTGTTAAATGCCTTTGCATTCCTTGTTATTGTAAAAGATTTCTGATAAAATTCTGAGAAATTCTTTTCCATTTATCAAGAACAGCCGTTACCAACTCTTCTGGGGTGTTAGGCCCTGGGTTTCGCCATCATACTCGTTTAAGTTGGTCCCAAATGTGTTTGATTGGGTCCAAATCTGGACTTCGAGCTGGCCATACCAAGCAGCCAATTCCATCCACAATATGTGCTCTATGGGGCCTGGCATTAGCAATAATACTTGCACAACAACCGATTCGGTACAAGCGTCCAAGGAAATGCCACCCCCAGAACATCAATGACCTGAGGAAACTTATGGAATGGGACATACCTTTTCCCTGACTGTCTCCATATGAAATTAGGCCCATCTGAAGATTTGAGGCCAACTCTCATCTCATCTTTAAAGAGAACTCATTCACAATCTTCCATGTTCCAATGCAACTTGAAACCTGGCCATTTTCTGAGCTATGGTAAGAAGAGGTCCACGAGCTGGATGTCGGGCCATGAGGTTATTTTCATTGAGTCTTCTTCATACAGTCTTAGAGGAAATCAAAACATTTCGGACCTACCTTATCAGATTTCTTATCACATTTCCTGTAATGCGGTGGTTTCGTAGAGCCTGATGATGGTTGAAACTATTGTCTGTCTCATCTGGAGACCTAGGTCGACCCTGTCCTGACCTTATAGTGTGAAGCCCTGTTTTTCTGAAGCGCCAAAGAACACTTTCTATCATAGAGTGATTTATATTCAATATCTTTGGCTGTATCTTTCCTCTAATAATTTTTTGACCCTGATACTGTCATATTCTCTAAAATAGCTGACTGGGACCATTAAAAGAGTAAGAATAAGAATGATATCATATGAAATCAACGAACGAAAAAGATTAACCGAAAGCGATCTTTAGGCGTAGAATGGCAGGGTGTAATGCTACTTTCTGTGCAAATGGGATTTATCAGTACAAAATTAAACAAAGGAAGTAAACAAAGCATTATTTATTGTTTATTTTGACTACTATAGCTCTAATTACCAATAACTAATGTTTAAAGATAGTGGATTTAATTGTAAACTAAATAAATTGATTGATGCGTTAAATTTGTCACTGTAGTTGACTTGAAACATAAACCCAACATTAATTACTTGTTTACATTTATAGTGTTACTCTTCCTTATTTTTTCTTAAAAAGATGGTTTTATAGCAGTTTAGGGCCAAAGAAAGTCTGGCTCAGGGAGAACTGCGATGTATGATAGTTTTATTGCTCTTAGCATACTAAGGAATTGTCATTTAAAAGCTTCCTCAATAAGTTGTGATAACCAATGTCAGGATTAAGGTGTGGAGACTGGGGTAGAAGTAGACTGTAGGCAGACGAAAAATTAACTTCTGTATTAAAAATTAATAACTACAGGAGTGGAGGGTTTACGGGAAACAGACTCATCAAATATTACAATCAACCCTTTTATATACCCTGGTGGGAGGCCTAGGAGGGATTTAACAATGGTGGGAATGAAGGATGTTGTTAAAGTCCTTATATTGGGAAGTCGGTACAAGGGGAAAAGCTTTTAAAATAAAATATTTAGGAATAATTGGAATAAGGGATATTACAAAGTAGTCAACTCCAAACGGTCTGAAATGTAAGGGTGAGCACTACAAAAGTGAAGGCTTTGTGATAATAGCCTAGTCTCTAGATGTCCCGAATTAGGTTCTTTACAGAGAGGCATCAAGTAGAAAGGAGACTTTGCAAATCAGCAGCACACTTGGACACTTAAACGATGGCGTGCTGTTCTCTTCACAGATGAGTGCCAGTTTGGTTTGTGGCAATCATATGACCGGGACCGTGTGCGGAGAAGATGTGGAGGACACATCGCTTCATGTGCCATGCATGAGAAAAGCTTTTACAAAGACAGTCACATTTATGGGGAGAAATTGACATTGCCCCTACCAAACTGATTTTCGTTCAGAATGGATCTTTGCACTAAGATTGAGGAAGTTCTTCTGGAAGATGTGGCCCCCAATAGCTCCATTTATTGGGGACAACTTTGTGTTAGTGCATGATAATACTTGACCGCATGTAGGACAAGTCATTCATTAATTGGAGGATATCGTATTAGCACAATGAATTAGCCTATTCTGACATGAATCCCATATTACACTTATGGGCCATGATAAAGAGTCGGGTCTTCATTGAACCGCTTCAAACTGTTCTGTTGAAGAATGAGATTCTGTTTTATAAGAGATCCGATCACTTATTTACTTGTTGACTAAGAGACTTAAGACTATAGGGCTTCTCGCATGGCTAGAGGAGGTAATACACGTTATTAAGACCAGAACTAGGAAATAGATTGTTAATTAAATTTTAATCAATCACTAAACGATTTTCCGATGTTTTGGTGAAATTTCTTTCAAACAATCATAACTAAGTAATTTTTATTTAAACTCTTGACCTTCAGATCTTGGTTCATTTGGTTTACGTTAAAATAAATAAGTTGTAATTAATGTAACGATAAACATACATATAGTTTGAAATAAACAACAAAATACGAGTTTTTTTTTCTGAGTATTTATGCAATAAATTAATATTCCTACAGTTAGTAAAAATAGCCAGCTTACAGCATCCGTAATTCATGTGGAGATTGAAATCAATGGTAAAAAAAGTTGGGAAAATAATTTTTATATAACGTTAAACAATAAATTTGTATCGAATTCACATGGAAAACTTTTTTTTAAAACTGTTTCTAAAGTTTTAATAACATGAAAGTTTATAATTAACAGAACACATAACAAAAAGTCTGCATACAATGCAAAACTTGTGACAAATTAATTAACATGTGAAATTAATAATCAGTGGGGCCTCCTTTACTTATGATGACCACTTCACGAAATTGGTTTTTCCTTAGTGATACTATTTTTTTTGGTTACACCAAAACCAGATTTTTCCATTCTTCTTTGAATCAGGTGTTGTTTATTTTTTTATGCCGCAAGTTTTCAGTCTTCTCTTCATTTCTTCCCAGAAATGTTTGATGGGGTTAAAATCCGCTGATTATGATGATGTTTTTAGTGGCATGGTTTGTGACCACTCTTTTGTTTTCTTAGCACGATGTTTATTATGTATATAAGGTCATTATTTTGTTGGAAAAACAATTTGCAAGAAGTCTAAATTTCTGGGCACTGCACTTTTTATTTTATCTAAGAATGCATGAATAAACATATTGTCCCATCCTTACAATAATTTTTAATTGACCAACCCATGATTACACCATTATCACTACCCCACCATGCTTCACCATCGCATATATCTTTTTTAATTTTATAGCTTCATTTTTTATTCCCTACACTCTAAATTTCCCATTAAAACAGAAAACATTAAATTTTCACTCATCACTAAAAATTACACTATCTCGAAAGGTTGAAGGCTTGTTTATATACAATTTTGCCAATTCAACTTTCTTTTTTATGTTAATTTTACTGATGTAGGACTTTTTACAGGCAGATTAAGGACCACATCTTTTAATGGTATTACAAACAGTTTGAGGTGTTACATGAATGTTATCCCTTCGAAGATTATTCGACTAGTAGAAGACTCACATTTCACATTTTGAAGAATCATTTTATCATGAATTCTCTCTAATTTCTTCTTTGGCAGCTCTGATCGGTACTTACTTTCCAAAGTTTCATTAGTTTCCAGATGATAGTTTGTATGTTGATCAACTTTTGTGAAAAAATTTTGCATTTTCAAGTAACAATTTTCCAAGATGCGGTGTATCAACCACCTAATTTTGACTGGCACCTCCATTAGAATAAAATATTTATCAAATTGATTCATAAGCATTACTAACTAAATTTTAAAATAACAGGATTTAAGAATGTTTTACGATTTTTAAAAAGGGATTGAACCAAAGGTGTATTCAAACTTATTTTGCATAGAAACACATCTATTTAACATTGTTGAATTAAAAAAATGATAATATCCATTCTTCAATCCATAAATAATACTGGGTTCAACANTATATTAAAAATTTTTAGGGGTGTATGTAGACTTCTTTTCCTTACTGTATATAAAGTAATATCCTAGAAAGTTTTACCAAATTCATATTTCCCTCTCCATAAAAAACGAGATCTAAACATTGGAAATTACAGAAATACATCATTTAAGGACTGGGTCAAAATTATTTTTCATCTGGTTTTTTTAACGGGTAAAATATGGCAAAAAATAATAAAGTAATCAATAAGTTTCAAGCTGGTTTCGGTTCTGGGGTTGTTCCACAATTGAGGAAAATTTTAAATTTTGTACTGTACTAGAGTTAAAAATGCAACAAAAGCAGCAGGTTTTCTTTAATTAAAATTTTTTAAATAGATTTAGATCTGCATTTGATTGTGTGAATTGAAATTCGTTTTACTGTAAATCGCACCCTTTAAGGATATCGAATAAATTCAAGAGAACCGTCCGTTTATTCTGTTACAAAGTCTGTGTGAACAGGAATTAGTGTTACCAAACGTTTCATGACTAACAGAGGTGTGAGACAGGGATGTGTTGTGTCACCAATTCTCTTTTCACTTTTTCTTAATGGTTTGCATAATCTCCTTGGGGGGGGGGCATAATATTATATATTATAATANAAAATATATAATATAATTATATTATATTCCTTTTTTGACACTTCTTGTATGCCATCGACATTGCTACTGAACCAAGTGTCTTGCAAGGGATGATTAATGAATTAAAGAAGTATTGTGCTGTTAGAATAAAAATTAATCTCTGCAATTTCAAAATTCCAAGATTGTAGTGTTTAAAAGGGGAGGAAAATTAGTAAGAAGAGAGAGATAGACATTGGGGGGGGGGAAGGTATAGAGGTGGTTAATATGTACTTACAAATATTTAGGGGCGACACTAACTTCACAACTCGGTTTTAGAGATCACTTAAAGGAAAAATTAAATATAGTTTAGTTTCATGTCTACTTATGTGAGCTTTATTAAAAAGTCCCATTATGTTCTAAGGATAATGTTTTTTAAGCAGTTGTAAGGGCTATTTTATGATAACAAACACAGTTGTGGGTTTTTTTAGGAACTTGAAAAGTTAAATGAATTTTCGATAAAGAAATTATTCACCCTACCTAAAATAGTTTCATTGTTTACCTGAATTGATTCAGTATATTTTAACCACCCCATAAATATTGATGTTCAGTATATTAAAAAAAGTACTAACTTACCATAAAATTAAAGAAGAAAATGTAAAATAAAAGAATAATTTTACTTCATATATTTAAAACCACCACCTTGAATGAGAATGTTAAAAAATTAACAAAAACAATCATTTCATACTTGTCTATTTCATACCACGTTTTCACATTATATTTATTTTTGTCCTTTCTGTAAATATTCCTTGGTATTCACAAGAATTTTTAAAAATTAAAGGTTGCATGTAAAACGCTTAATTAATTTAAATTGTGTATCAACACACTGCTTTTATGAAAGGCTACATTTTAGTCGTAATCATTGTGTTAAACCCTAGAAGTTACTGCATATTCAAAGTACGCATACATTATTTTTCCAATTTTTATATATTTCATTGATGATTTTGATATTGTTTGCAAACATTCTGTCAATACATCATTTTTTGTTTAAATATTAGAATGTACTTTAGTGAAGATTTTAAATCTTGGTTAACTACAAACTATTTTATGATGGGGGTGCAGTTGTGATTACTTCCATCCTGCATCATTTGCTCACGCGTGTAGTAATGCTATAATAGATGGGATGATTCAATTTTTCTTCTTCTTCTGTCATTAGGATTTGATGTACGCCTCTGAGCTTTACTCTCTTCTAAACAATTTTATTTCTTTTTGCTCACTTTTGCAACTACGTGCTATGGAAGTTTTTACAGATAGACCTGCCAGTTCACATTTATAATTAATCACTAAAGAGCATTAGTATTTTTTTTTTAAATGTGTTTTTAATAAGTTAAAATTGTCTGTTTCTTTGTCAGTCATAAATTTAGGCATTTTGCCCTCTTCAAATGGTGAGTTTGTAGGAATTTTTTTTTCTAATTTAAAAATTGTTATATTGCCCATTGAATGACTGGACTGAAAATACAAATAATCCATCGTAAGACAACAGAACAATGCCGACTTAACCATTGGTTAGAACTTTTTTTTAAATTTGACAAACTAAAAAAAAGGACATGAATGACCAAGTAACATCCAGAGCAGCCAATTGAATGTGGTGAAATGCTGAAACATACCTGCCAGACAAAACAGCTAGATAAACGTCTGATCAGAAACAACTGCACCATAGATGTTGGTTCAAACCTGTTTGATCAGTAGTCTCTGTTTACCATATCTAACATTGCTGGCTTTGATCACTGGGCTATTTTTAGTTGTCAGTTGGGAGTTAGCAGCTAACTGGACTAAATGATGCCCACATCACTTAACTAAATGATGATACTCATGTGCTAGACAAAAATGATCAGAAACGACTAGACTACAGATAAAAAATTTGTGCTCGATAACCTCCATTTGTCCTGATTTGTCTAATATTGCTGGTTTTTAATATGGTCATTTCATATCTTAGTGGTCTAGGTGTCATGCTATCTGGAAAATATAGCACCTAGATCTCCAAACTATATTTGGCAAAATGAGAATGGACATAAACGATCAGGAACTACCTTAGTAAAAGTTAATCACCCTGCAGACTTCAACAAGAAATTTCATGATAAAATTAATTCCTTAAGGAAAGATTAAAAGAAACAACATTATTTTTTCATATAGTTTTCACTTCTACCCAATGAGCTAGATTAATTAGTAAAGTAATTTCAACTATACATGGCAATGCTTATCATGGTATCATGGATGATAAAAATTTTTTTTTTTCAAATTATTCTCAATAATTCCTTGGGTCCCTGGGATTTGAACCCAGAACCACTAGCATAGAAATTCAAACCATATGTAAATACCCTATTATTTACAGACCTAATATATTCACTGATTTATTTCAGATTAGTCAGTTAGTTTATTTAATACCGTGTGTGTGTGTAGAGATTAGTGACAGTTAATCGATAGTTATTCAGATATCGTGAGATGTGGTCGGGTGTGATGTAGGTTTCAGAAAAGGCAGGTTTCAGTTGGCACGATAAAGAAAATGTTTTTCTGAAACCTACATCACACCCGACCGCATCTCACGATATCTGAATAATTATTAATACCATTATATTTCGTGGTCCTATTGACCAAATAACTTTTTTTAATGAATTAATCTTTATGTAAGGTATTGGTTGAAATGAAAAAGTGTCAAGAGAAGGATTCAAACCCACAACCTTCGGTTCAATACGCCGCTGCTCTACCCCATGAGCTATCGTGACTTCGATCCACTCGGACACCAACTTCCCATCTCAGCCTACCTTTCGAATTTTCCCTCTTCAACCTTCAAATGTCGTGTAATTAGCATTCGATTCTCGGCGACAAATGAAATGGCCACGGAGAGCTTTAGTTAAGAATATACTTCATTTTACTTATTAAATCCATTATATTCGTGGTCCGATTGACCAAATAAATTCTTTCAATTAATCTTTATGTAAGGTTTTTGGTTGAAATGAAAAAGCTAGTGCCATGAGCAGGATTCGAACCCACGACCTTTGGCTAGATACGCTGCTGCTCTACCCTTGAGCTATCGTGACTTCGATCCACTTGGAATTTATTTAACATATAATGTGATACATATATTGTAAAATGTAAATGCAAAGGATAATGTCAAGGATCTTTATGCTTCCTAGTGGAAAAGAACTTTAAATATATTTACAAGAATTATTAATTTGGCCTAAATAAATGAATAAATAGTGGAGAATAATTTATTTAGAAAAAAATCCCTTGCAACAGAATAAAAATAAATTTTTTACAACAAGCTTAGAACTCAGCCATTGTTTGATTAGACTATTATTACAATTTCTAAGCTAAATACTAATTTACTTTAATAAGTAGATGAATACAATAAATAATTTAATAAATATATAGATAAGTGTGTTAATAACTAAATGTATAAATAAACAGCCTTATATTCTATTATTCTAGGTTGGTGGTTGCTAGGAGGAGGTGGTATGGAGGTCACAAACTACTGCTTCTTAGTTGTTTTCCTCCTGCATCATGCTGTTTTTTCTTTAGCTACTTCGGAAAATTTAACTTGTGGACCAGGATTAAGCACACCTGGATGTAAGTTTTATTATTTGTATTTCACACTAAATTTGTATTGAATTGAATTGTTCTTTAGATGGTAATTTATTTATTTTCAAAATTCACTTCATTTTAAAACAAATTATGTTAAAAATTGGTTCGATTGTACAGTTTAGATAGTCAAAAGTTGCTGTTTCATACCATGACAAAACATTTCACAGATACGTTCCCTAAAGGAGACATTACGTTGGAATATGGTTCAGCTTTAGAGATATACTGTATTCTTAATCCGGATAGGAAAGAAAATGCCTCGTCTCTATCGTTTACCGTTAATGGTACCACCATTCCTCAGAGTGCTTATAAAATAGTCAATAGAACTACGCTGAAACTCTATTTTAAGAAACATCCACCGGGTCGCTATGTCTACCATTGTTTGCTCGATTCGATTGATGACCCTTCCAGCAAAAACCGAGCTGTATGCCTCAACGTTGTACATGTCGGTTGTAAGTATTTATACACTTCAATTCATATTTATCAATAGATTTAAAGTAATGATTTATTACTTATTATTTCAGATAAACCAAAAGAAGTATCCAATTTTTCATGCATTTCTCAGAATTGGGAAAACATGAATTGCACATGGGATCCTCCAAATAATAGTGTTCCAACTTATTATGAATTGAGATTTTATCTAAAAGGCGATCGGTAAGTTAAAGCCTGATTTTGACATATTTCTATTGATAAAATTTTTTGCATGTAAGTAGCTTACTTAATGATTTTTCATTACTCTAATCTTGTTTGATGAACTTTCTTTTTATTAATTGTCACATTTCAAAATGATATAGTGATTCATTTCAAAGTATTATAATATTAAATCTAATATCTATAAATAAGAAAACAAATCTTTACCTCCTATTACGGATAGATTTGGTACAGTAGATGTAATGAACCGGGTTTATAATATATCCACAATAAAAGAAATAATAACACAAACAAGTATAATTAATACAAACAAACAATTATATTTACTGAAAACAACCCCACAAATATATTGGCAAAACTTTGATACACAAAAAATGCAATATTTACAAGACAATAATTCTCACAAACTTACTGCTATCATAATGGCAATAGTCAACTTAATTATTTTTAAGTTAACAAATCGTAACATCTCTCCCTACCACCTGGAGAGGAAGAAAAAAGAAAGAAAGGAAGTTTACTTTCTTTTTCTTCGAAGACAATTTTACTTATATATGCATATGTACTATAGCTATAACTTATTTGACTTAAAAAGAAATGAACAAAATTTCAAACTAAGCACACAATTGATTATAAAAAAACGAAAATTCTGTGGTTAAATCTATGGGATGTCCAGAGGCATGCTCTCGTACTAGTTTTTATCTGTGACAGCACACACATTTGCGACTTTTGTAAGCCTAATTTCTACATTATAATGGCTTAAAAGTAAGCTCCTTCTAAGGACTTTTTGGTTTTTACATTTCATCATTTATTAATAAATACCATTGGATTATGATGACTGTAGATAGTGGAGACTCGGAAGAATTTGCATAAATTTTGAAGTGTTGTATTGACAAGATACAGCTAGAAACACCTGTTCTATGGTAGAATAATTCTTCTGGGAACCAACAAATTTCTTTGAAAAATAACATATTGGGTCATAAATACTTTTACTATCTTCTGGTATTAACACACCACAGACTTGTTTGTCACTTGCATCCAAAGCCAGTTTAAAAGGCTTCTTTAAATTTGAGGCCAGCAGAACAAGGTCAACTACTTAATATGGATTTTAATTGATTATAGGAATTATTGAAATCATCAGACTACTTGTAGTAAACTGAATTTTTCTTTAACAAACAGATAAGAGGTTCTGTTACAGTTGAAAAGATTTTACAAAATTTCCTATAATAACCAGTCATACATAGAAATGCATTGTCTTTTTGTTTTCAGGAATAGGGAATTCTAAGATCACTTTGATTTTTAAGTTGTTTGGCCTCTCTTGTCCTTTCCATATCACATGTCCTTAGTATCTTGCAAGTGCACACACAAATTCACTTTTTCCTAAGTTGATCTTTAGCCTTGCCTCTGTTAGGTGGTCAAAAAGCATTTTAATGGATTTCAAATATTCACCCCATTCATGATGGTATAAGACATTGTTGTAACTATCGTAGCCACCAATCTTTTTGATGACAAAGTTCATCAAATGCTGGAAAGTAGCTGGCGCATTCTTCATCCCAAATGACATCACTTTGTATTGACAAAAGCCTTTTGGTGTAACAAACGCGGAGATTTCCTTAGCCTTTTCCATGAGGGGTATTTGCCAAAATCCTTTAAGCACATCGATACGAGTTATGAATTAAGCTTGACCAATTTTGTCAGTACAATCATCCATGCGAGGTATTGAAAAGGAGTCTGACTCAGTTGTTTTGTGGACTTGACAATAGTCAGTACACAGCCGGTAGGATGAATCTTAGGTACCAAGAGACACGGAGAACTCCACATAGCAAATATTCGATTTCTTCATCCAACAACTTTTGCTTCATACGATTTAGGTGAAAAGGATGTTGTTTGATTAGAGTCGCATCGGTGACCTCAACATCATGATACATCATATCAGTTCTACCAGGAACATCAGTGAACAAGTGTTGATAATCCTCGATAAGACATTGTATATCTTGCCTTTGTTCCAAGGTCAAATGGCTAAGCTTTTTCTTCCAGGTTCTCAAGAATGAAAGAATTGTTCATAAATACATAAAAAAATGACAAAATATGGGAATGAAATGATTCCAGAATTAATGTTTAATTTCCCACTCATGAGAAGAGGAGACATGAGGAGAGCGAAATTTTGTATAAGTATTCTGATTTTTATGTAAAAAAATTCAGTGAGTCAGAAATGTCATCCTCGTCCACTACTTGTTCAAACCAAGGCGCAATTTTTTCGTCGCTTTTCAATTCTTCAATAAACTTTTCTTTATTTAGTTCGACATTAGCAATTCAAATTTTGATTCTACATTTTCTAAGACAGGAGAGGAATTTTCTTTATTAAAAACATCTGCAACAAATGTACTGGATAAATCAAAATTTCCATTATGCAAAGATAGATTTTTGTTGGCTACCATAGAACGAGTAACCACACTAGCCGGACATAAATCGATATAACTTGAGTCGTCTATCTCACCGACCAAAGGTGGTACTGTTAAAACAGGTAATGTCTTTACCACTCCTACCTTCACACCTGAAAAAGTTAATAGCGAGATGTTACTAATCCTCTTCAGGGTAGCAGGTACATCATGGGGTGCTGACAGAGGTACTATGCTCAAATTCTACTAATGTCTAATTCGTAGTAACCTCCCAAACATAATAGACCCGATACAGAACACAGGTTTATGCCTAGCTCTAAGCATTCAGATCTAGCCCTTCCGTTAGCCTTCCAGTTGATGCAAAACTTCCTCTTGATTATTGTAGGAAAATGCTGGATTTTAAACTGTATTAAGATACTGTATAATGCCTTCCCATCCATTAAAGAGTTTATTTACAAATGGTCGTATCCTCTCCACAGATGATGTCTTAAATCAATTTTAGTATAGCGAAGTTCAAGTTATACTTGTGTTACATTTGTATATTCATTTCGTTTCTTTTAGAAAATATTCTTATCCCTGCCCAGTACATAATGTGGTCGATCAGAATAATTGTGTATGGAATGCTAGCTCAAATCCACCTCATCGCCAGCCTTATGCACAGTATAATTTTGTTTTAACTGCTATAAATCGACTTGGCAATTTAACTAAGAGGTACACAGTTAATCAATATGCACGAGGTAAGTTGGATTCATTTTTGTTTCATTTATTACATTATAGAAAAAAATTGTATTGTTGTCATTTGATTACAGTGTTGCCGAATAAACCTTCAAACCTTAGTTTAGTTGAAGCAACACCAAACAGCTTGGTAATATCATGGAATGAAGGCCATCCTTTTAAGTCATTCCCGCCTGGTATTGTCAATAGATTAATATACCAATCTAAATGGGATCCTCAAACGTATTGGGAAGTAAGTGATGTTTTGTGCTTGTTTTGTTCTACTGTTAGACAAAAATTAATGATATGCTTTCTTACAGGTCAGAAATGCAGTATTTCCACCGAAAGAAACTTCCCGGATGTATAATATTACTGGATTAAAGTATCCACATACATTATATGATATAAGGGTTTTCACGCGATCTTCAGTTGCTCCGGATGAAGATTTTTGGTGGTCTGAACCTGCAACTATTACACTCCGCACCAAGCCAACAAGTAATTTTTTAATGTTGTTATTTTTCTATTGAAGTTGTTGATATTAAAATTATTTATAACAAATTAAAATTACTTGTTTAACATTTCTATATTGACATTAAAAAATTTATCAAATACCGTATATATTAAAATTATAGGGTGCTATGTATGTTTTTAGTACCCGGGCATCCACCGTTAACTGACATAGGAAGTTTTGAGACTTCTGATTCCTCAATTGAAACAGAAAGAAATGTTTACGTGTATTGGCAACAAATCCCACGCCATTTGGAAAATGGAGATAAATTTGAGTACAAAATTATCCGTATTGAAGAATTTACAGATGATGGTGTAAAAATAAGGTAGGTTCTTATTTTACAATAATTTCCTTGAACAAACAGAAAAACCACGTAGGAACATTGTTTTCAAAGTTTTTTAAATTTCAGGGACATTACTCCAACGGAAGTATCAAAGACTTTCGCCAAATTCACTGGTCTGTCATTCAACCGGTATAAATTTACAATTGTATCTTCCAACTCCGAAGGGTATTCGACCAATGCTTCATATATAGATGTTCCAAGTAAAAAACAAAGTAATTGAAATTATACTTGGTTTTATTATTGTAAATATGTACATTTAAAATCATTCAATAATTATTTTTGAACGTTTATCTTTTAGGTCCTCCGGAACCAGGATCATTTTCAAAGATTGCATTCGATAATGGCATTTATGAACTATCATGGAATGTCGCTCCAAACATCCTAAGCTATACCATTTTTTGGTGCGATAATAAAAAAGATAGACCCTTCGATTGCCAGGTATTTATATTCATTTGTTGTACTGATAATTTATTGAAGAATAGTTTTTTCCATTAGAATTTGAAAAGATAGCAAACTATTAAAAAATTCTTGACGACCTTGAAAATAAAATCCATTTTTCCATTGCCAGTCTTGTTTTTAAATTATAATTATATCATGATTTATTTCTTAGTCATCTTATTTATCATTTTAAAAATGTCATCATATATTTGATAAGGTTTTGTTGTTAATTAATAATAATTCATTGATATTGAATGATTTATTAGCATTGTGCAATACTAACAGTTAAAAATAAAAGGAATAATTTCTAAAATTTATATCATTAGAATTTATAACTAATAATTCATAATCACTCCAATCCATTATTTGCTTTTGCAGGGTTTCTTAAATTGGACCAAAGTATACGTTAATAAAGACGACCTACAATGTGACGAGAATGGATGTGGTTTACTGCAAAAAAACATCACACTATCTGGCGATAATGTGTATCAGTTTGCGCTTTCAGCGAATACTGAAACAAGCAGCAGCGGGATGGTGTGGGCTTCTTGTACTGTACTTCCACAACTTGGTACGTAATGTCACTAATAAGTAAACCCAAAAGTAAAAGTTCATTTATTTAATGACAAGTGTTATTGTGATACTGAATAATGTTTAATATAATTTTTAGAATTAATAATTTATTTTTGTGATAATTGATATACATATTACATACTATGAATATTACAGTTACTTCATCTAAACATTTAAACTTCCCCAAACAGACATCCGTTACGACAAGACAATTTTATTTTCCACAGCAATATCCTATTTAGTTGAACAAGAAAAATAATTCTAATAAATGGACATGGACACTACATCTATAGATTTTTAGATTTTTCAATGAAAAAGGCTCTTGTAACTTGTAAGCAGGCAGCAGAAAGAAAAACAACTTGGGATTTCACGAATGACACAAACCACTTGAACACCTTTGGTAGCTCCTGGTCAGTTCTCAGATTGCAATTGTGACAAACCGGTTTGGAGAGGAGTGGAAAAAAAAACGTGTCAGATAAAAGTTGAAGTCATACAAGACCATGAGAAAGGGAAAATTAATGTCTGTGTACATTTGAATTTAATTAATTTTTTTACTTATGAACCACTGCAGCGGAGTGGTAAGCATGATAGACTCTTGGCTTATAGGCCCTGTGGTCATGGGTTCAATTCCCACCGTTGCCCTTGGCCCTTTTTTTCTGTCCCTTCCTCAAAAAAAACAAAAAAAAACAATGTAACAAAAAAAATTCTGTGTGTGGCCACAAGGAAGTATAGTATATAGTATACTATATGGTGTACTATATAGTATACTGTATAGTAAGTACATAACATAGATACTCATTTGGATGTAAAGTTGTTTCCTTCCATATCCATTTTTTATTAGAAAAAAATTATACTAACATGTTGACTGGGGTTTATTTTGAAGCTTTTTTCCTGGTCGGGTGGGACAAATTCAGCAAAGGGCCTTCAGTGAACGTGTTAAAATTCAATATTACACTAGTTTTAGTTAAAATTTGATTTCACAGTTCGGTCTTTCCGATTCTGTTAATCTTCTTATCCTTTAAAGTCTGTACCAATTTTAAAGTTTTGTAATTTAATAAGCAATTTTCAGTCTTTACTTGACATGTGGATATGAGGATCACTCTTAAAAAAGGAGAAATTGGTAATACGGCCGTTAACCATTTTGGTTTGCCTTTCGCCTATCCTTCCCGAGTTGGCTGTCAGGCACGTTATGGTAGTGGGCCATTTTCAGTTGTGCCTGTTTGATTTTTGTGAAGTCAAGTTTATTTTATAACATTGAGATTTTTTTTGATACTTTTGGCGGATTAAGTCTGGATTTTTTTAATTGTTCTGGTCCATCCTTTTTTGTTTTGATTCGTATTGTTGGTATGCGAATTGTTGTTAATTTGAGTTTTTTAAAATTAAATGTGTTGTTTCTATGTGCTTCATTTTCCATTTTTTTAAATTTTTTTATGACAGTTGAAGACGTGGAAGAAAACCATATTTACTTCTAGATATGTTATTATATGGTCTTCTAGGTAGCAGGGACTTACATGTCTTGTTCCCTTTCTCTACTTTCGTATTTGTCTTTATTGTTGAGGTTCATAATGGTTTTCTGTGAGGTGAGTTGTGTAATTTCATTGTCCCTAAATGATGTTATATGTACTGCCTTTTATTTTTCGTCCTTTCTGTCAGATTTTTTCTCCACATTCCCATTTTATGGCTATTTTTGTTAATGCTATGTTGTAGGAGTCCTCGGTACTATTTCTAATTTTTCAATACGTTTAGTTTGTATGTGAATGTGGTCTATTTAGTGTATATTTTTGGGTGTGTGTTTTGGTTATTGTTTTTGGTTTGTTTTTGTATTTCTCTTTTGTCAGCGATACTGTATTTTAGTCTGTCATGTATTTTACTGCTACCATTTTGTGTGTCACTTGACCCGGCTTGTATGATGTCGGTCGTTGTAGGTTTTCTGTATATGTTACAGTTCTTACTGGTTTTAGTAATTGTTAAGTCAAGGAAATTTATTTTATTTTTTACTGTTAATGTTTTCTATATCTGTATGTTTTCGTGTAAGAAGTTCAGATTTGTTAGTATGTTGTGTTGATTATGGTGAGTAGTAATCAGTTTATATTTGTGTGATGTCATGTTTTTGTCATAAGTTCAGGGAAGTATTTCTCTTCAAAGTTTTTATAAAAAGTATGAGTTCTCTATTCTTTAGTCACAAAATTATTCAGTATATTTAGTTTTTGTCTTTTATTTTTATTGTAATAGACTTGTTTCCTTTTATTAACTGTCTTAACATAGACTAACTACTAACCTAGACAAACCATGCTTATATTTATTTTAGAATTATTTATGTTTATTTATATATTTCAGCTAAAGGAAAGCTTCGCAACATTTGGATTAGTCGAATAGGGTCGACATTTATCGAATTGAGTTGGAATTTGGATTGCTTTGTAAGGAGTCGAATCATAAAAGGATTTGAAATTATTTACTGTCCCATCACTGATCCTCAGAATTCAAATTGCAAAGGTAAATTTTTCATTTAACTTCTATTAAAAATTATTATTTCTTTCAATTGATTATTCTTTTCATTTCAACCAAGACCTTGGATAAAAATAATAATTAATTGAAAGAAGTAATTTGGTCAATCACAGACTACTAAACATAATGGATTATTATTATTATTTATTATAAAACATTAACCAGAATTTTCGCATTGATTTTGTAGAACCATCTCAGAATATGACAATAAATGGGTTGGAAATAATAAATGGGGCAAAGGTCACTATAAATAATCTCAAGCCTTATACCACATACATGCTCTATGTCATTGCCATGTCAGAAAATAAAGATGACCGCATAAAAAGTGATGCTCTTCTCAATACTACTTTGGAAGCAGGCAAGTTGGTCAAATATAGAATAAAATGCCAATATTTTTTATTCAAATTTAATAAAATCAAACTTATTGTTTTTTGTAGCTCCTGATTTGGTGCCGACCAATATGGCCATCCACAAAATTACCAATTCATCTATCACCTTGTCTTGGAAACCTCCTGTTAGCCTAAATGGTGTTCTGCGGTACTACCAAGTGATTTATGGAACTGATGTCACCCGAGTAGAGGATAAGTCTGAAGTTGTTTATGTAAATGCCAAAATGATAGTATGTACTGTACGGTTGTATTTTATTTTATTTTTGTAATTTTAGGCAACGCTGAATAACTTAAGGAGCTTTGAAAATTATGAAATCCGTGTTTCTGCATGCACGGTGACTTGTTCCAAAAATTCTGCACTTATCAATGCAATTACAAACGTTGGACGTAAGTATTACTTTTTCAAAATTTCTGTTAAGATCTTTTATCGACCTACAGCTAAAGGTTAACAATTGTGCAATCTCCATCAGCCTAGAGCTCTTCATTAAACTTAGAGCTGATGCATACATGCCATTTTTTGCCACCAGTATCAGTTCAATGAACACTTGTCCGGCCCTGCAGCAGCTGTTCTGTAGCAACTGAAATACTTCAAATACTGCCAGTATGCATACATTTGCCAAACGGATGATGATAGAAAATGTGGCATTTTTGCTCACCTACTGAGTACATTTAAACAAAATAGACATCGTTTTCATTTTTAACATTTCACACTTAAGTGTATTTTTTTTATTTCTTGTATAAACTACTTGACATCAATTTCATCTGCCATAGCAAGCAGTTCCCACAGCAACATTAAGCATATAATTGAAATTGATAGCAGGAAGAATACAAATATCGCATTTAAAGTCATGCCAAGTAACGGCAAAGTGACACCATTTTGTTACACTGCAGTGGCCTTGAGGGAAATGCTAAGAAAAAACGATGTCAAGATCACTGGACAGTGTGGCTGTGGCATATTGCACAAATCAATCTGATGCTCTGACCAGGCAGCAAAAAACCGCATGTGTACATCTGGCCTTAAGGGGGGGAGTACATCACTTTGAAAAGATGCTTTCGGCAAAATGCGACTTTGCAATTTTAATTTTGGTTTTTGTATTCACTGCTTTTCCAGTCTTTCTGAATCTTCATGTTCTCGTTTTAGGCTGCTTTCTAAAAATAGTTATATACTTAAAATATAATTATATTTAGGAGAATTTAATTTATGAAGCTATGAAATTTTAGTTTTTTCCTCCACAAAAATAAGCTATTTTACCCTTCTAGGGAACTTTTCTCAAAAACTGATGGATCTCTTTTGTCCCCCCCCCCCAAAAAAAGCATATTTATTTACGTCCTCATTTCTAGGATGGTTTATTAGTTTATGGTGGTCAAAGCTTTGTTTACTTTGTTTTGAAAGTGATTTTAGCATTTTAGTTATACACTTATAATCTGTAAGGGATAGTATACCATGTGGGTTCCTGGTGTGATAGCTCCATACTAAAAATGTTTAAAAATAAAATAAAAATACTTCTGATGACCCCAAAATTATTTGCTTCTGGTGTTAACATGTCCAGGAAGAGCTATAGTTGTTTTTTATGAGATCAAAAAGTTTTTTTTTATCAAAGCAATGTGCTTTCCTTAAGGCTCCTAACCAGATTTCGAAGGACCTTTGCATATCCTCTCCCAGGAGTAGGAATCTCAATGTGCATAGGCCTCTGCACAAACATAGCTCATATTCCTCTTCTTGGCTCTGTCTATACATTGTTCTGTGCTGTTCTATGTTTCTGGAGTCAGCAGTTCTACCTTCATTCTAGTCCTAACATGTTGGTATTAGTTATTGATAAAATTTATCATATTTCTCACTCCTGCAAAACATTCTCGTTGGACTGAAGAATTATTCTCAACCTTTTGACGGACTTTTCGATAACAAATTTTTGTAATGCCATAAAAGTGCTCAGGGTTGATAGGTGTCCTGTTTCAACTTTCTTAGATCAATTTATCAGTGAAGTATGCCCTGGTAGCTAAATAAGAGTGATTTTGGACTTTTTCCCAATGTCTGACAGGGACAATTCTTAAAGACTCGCCTTCACGGCTGATAAAATATTTGCCTTTAGTGCCACCTGGCTGTCTGAGTAGATGGCAGTTGTCTTGTATGCATTCTCAAGTCCTTGGTTTATTGCCATAGATAAAATTCACGACCCATTTCGGTTTTAAAACCATATACAGGGTGAATTGCTACTCGTGCTACAAACTTCTCCAGTAGATTCTTCACCCTAAAATGAACAAAAAAGTTCATATTGACCATGGTCCGATTCTCAACCATTTCAGAGTAATTTCGCTTTTTATCGATTTTGAAAGATATCACGTCCTGGCGTCGGAAAATCGTGATATCTTTTAATCTAAACATTTCTCTGAAAATCTAATAGCACCGTTGAAATTCCCGTTAATTTTTCAATAAGACGATGACGGTGGCAAAATGTTTGGGCTAATTTTTTGTGTTTTATTTCAGCCAGAACTACAAAAAGAGTGGAAAATTGTGTAAATCGGAAAGTGTATAAAGTAATCCAGAGTTTCTAATTTTAGTCTCAGAAGGCAGCAAATTTGAGGAAAACTACCTGATTTAATAACGCTTCCAACGCACTCGTCATTTTCTTATTTAGTGGTTGTGAGACCAAGATGTTGATGACAAAAAGAGAAAAAATGGTGGTTCAAGGATTGCTAATGTTTGAGAGTGACTTGCTACTCGTGCTACAAACTTCACCAGTAGATTCTTGACCCTAAAATGAACAAAAAAGTTCATATTGACCATGGTCCGATTCTCAACCATTTCAGAGTAATTTCGCTTTTTATCGATTTTGAAAGATATCACGTCCTGGCGTCGGAAAATCGTGATATCTTTTAATCTAAACATTTCTCTTAAAATCTATAAGCACCGTTGAAATCCCCGTTAATTTTTAGAGAGAATCAAAATCATAATTCCATTGAAATTTTTTAATTTAATTTAATGCCCATTTAGTATGTAATGCTTAAGAAGTTTACAAACAGCTAGAAGGTCAAGGAAGAAAGACCCAAACGTTTTGCCACCTTCATCTTCTTATTGAAAAATTAACGGGGATTTCAACGGTGCTTATAGATTTTAAGAGAAATGTTTAGATTAAAAGATATCACGATTTTCCGACGCCAGGACGTGATATCTTTCAAAATCGATAAAAAGCGAAATTACTCTGAAATGGTTGAGAATCGGACCATGGTCAATATGAACTTTTTTGTTCATTTTAGGGTCAAGAATCTACTGGTGAAGTTTGTAGCACGAGTAGCAAGTCACTCTCAAACATTAGCAATCCTTGAACCACCATTTTTTCTCTTTTTGTCATCAACATCTTGGTCTCACAACCACTAAATAAGAAAATGACGAGTGCGTTGGAAGCGTTATTAAATCAGGTAGTTTTCCTCAAATTTGCTGCCTTCTGAGACTAAAATTAGAAACTCTGGATTACTTTATACACTTTCCGATTTACACAATTTTCCACTCTTTTTGTAGTTCTGGCTGAAATAAAACACAAAAAATTAGCCCAAACATTTTGCCACCGTCATCTTCTTATTGAAAAATTAACGGGAATTTCAACGGTGCTATTAGATTTTCAGAGAAATGTTTAGATTAAAAGATATCACGATTTTCCGACGCCAGGACGTGATATCTTTCAAAATCGATAAAAAGCGAAATTACTCTGAAATGGTTGAGAATCGGACCATGGACAATATGAACTTTTTTGTTCATTTTAGGGTGAAGAATCTACTGGAGAAGTTTGTAGCACGAGTAGCAATTCACCCTGTATAGCAATAGGTAGCAAAATTGTTCGTAGCTCCTGAACCACTCATAACAAATAAATCGGGTATAACAAAATTTTAAAACAGAACAAATATTTGTTTAATTTTTTAAACATTTTGGGGACCAAATGCAATTTAGAAAAAATTGATATTCCATATGATTTTTTTTGCAAAAAATTAATATCCTAAGGGCTTATACCAAACATAATTTGCTTATAAAATTTTTACAGACACTGGATCGTGATTTAGTAGAATTTAATTTTTGTTTAATTCATTTAAAAATTGCATTTTACTTGGCTGTACTTAGAGACAGGTCAAAACACTGAGAAAGTCCCTTCGTTATGCGAGTGGAGGAGTGAGATTATACCTAAGGGTTTCTGCTACCTGCATGTAAGAAGTGTCAGCTAATAATTGGTTCAAACAAGTGCAATATTAGTTAAGTATTAAGTTATAAGTGTTGGCAAATTTGTGTCAAAGAGGCTTAGAATTGTCTGGTAATCTGAGGCGATATAAGAGGGAAACCTATGGATTCAAGCAGGTTGATTAAAGTTATAAAAGTCAACAAGCTTTGTGGCAAAGATGCCGCAAACATGCCTGATAATCCGAGGGGAAAAATACAGTCGACTCAAGATAATTTGAAATCCAAGTGACCACAAAAATAATTTTAATTATCAAAAGGAAAGAAAAAAATATGATATGCATTTTTTCAAGTTATTACTTAAATTTTACATCTATAAAACATAGTAAAAATAATGAAAAAATAGAAATAGATTAACTTTAAAATTGAACCTTGTTACGCATTATAACAAAAGCGTTTTTTGTTTCAATGTGGCCTGACATCCTTTGTTTGATCAGTGCTGAGACATTGACAAAACACTGACTGCCAAACGTAGCAAACTACAGAAAATTCAAAGAAACTTGGATATAACGATGTAAGGAAGAAAACAAGCAATTTGGAGGAATATCACAAAGAAAAAGTTGGAATATAGGGGAAGTGGCCATGCTTTTTCTTCCCTTGTTAAGAAAAATATTTCAAATTACCCCCGAGTGTATCAAAATATATAGAATTTTATCGATTTTCCAAAGTGACCTGCTGAGGGTAATATGAGAATTACATTTTGAATTAACAGGATGATTTAAGGTATAAGTGATGGGCATTTAGATTAGTCTTCTTACCAAAATATAAACATAGGCGAGTTCTTTTAGTAGTGTTCGTTTATAATTTGTTGAGAAAAATGAGATGAACAGACTTGACTGAAATGAGTTGTAAAACTCCAAAGATGAAATTAATGCCCTCGTGGTTTTTGTCTGACATTTACCCACTTCCCATATTATGTAAAACTTTGTATTACAAAGCCTACAGCACTGGCTACCCACCATTTTGAACACTAATGCAAGTTTGATTTCAACAATCCAAAAATATTAAAAACAAAACAAACATAAATGTCACTTTTTAGAAATAGTTTACATCAACAGAGGTAAACACAGCATCAATTACAGAACAGACACATGAAACTCAGCCGCAGCTATGCTAATATCATAAATCAAATTCAATATCAATAATATACATTTAACATACAAAATGTAAAATACAACATATAAACCAATCATTACACTCCACACATCAAACAACAATTCTGCATAATCTAAATTTTCAACAATTTATCCTCCTTTCCCTAATAATCCCGACTATAATAATTGAAAGGCTAACCAGGCCTGAACCGCAAACCATTTTCTATTGTCGGTCTTTTTCACCTCAAAAAAGCCGACTCATAGAAAAAGATTTTCTATCTCTACTTCCTTCCCCACTTCTTCAAAATCAAATATTTGTAACCAAAAAACATTAATACCTCACTAACATTTTCAAGATGATGCATAACATTGACACACCTACACAGAAAACACATTTTGAGTGAGAACAAATAGTTGGATTAAACCTAAAATTATTGTGTACATCATTGTATAAATTCATATTCATATCTTATATGTATTTGTGTAATTTAAACAATGTTTATAAATCCCAGGCCATGAAGATGAACTCAATAAAGATCGAAATGTTGGTATGATAAAGAAAATGTTTTTCTAAACCTACGTCACACCAAACCGCATCTCACAATCTCTAAATAATCTTTAATTAATGGTCTCTAAATACTACACATATTTTCTCAGTAAAAATGAATTATCTCAGTTTTGGTATAAATTGGCTTAGCTAGTTCCCTGTGGCTACAGTTCAGTATACTGTAGTATATTACAGACTCTTTAACATTCTCTTCGGGATTGTTGACGAGATATCTCGGCTCATACGCTCCTTAGACTAGACCCAGTATCATATCATCACCTTGTCCTTGTGGTTTTGACTTACATGGAATTGGTGCAACATATAAGCAATAAAAGCGATTAATTTGATGTATGAAGCAAAATAAATCAGGCTGGGAGGGTCATGTGGCAGCCAAAAAAATCAGTCCTGAAAAAGTTAAAATGAAATTAGGAACTAGGTACATTAAACAAATAACATTATTTTACATGAATAAAAACTATTTCAGGCCCAGATAAAATGGATCCACCAATAATTCTAAACACTACGAAACGTGGTATACAAATTAGCTGGAAAAAACCGTATTATCCTGGAGGTTACCTAGACTTTTTCGATGTCAAACTACGTCCTGACCGAGTCAAGGATCATGAAGAAGCCCCATTCACTAGATTAAATGGTATTTATTTTTAATTTGATTTTATTCATTAATTTATAAAATAAAAGTTTGAATTTAAGCTGCTTGTTTTATTATATATTTGCCCACTAGATAAGAACAATAATATGCAACTCTTTAAACAACAATTTTTTTAGGTTCCTTGTTTTCTTATCAGTGGAAAGAACTTGAATGTGAAATTTATCAAGTGCAAGTGAGGGCTGTTAATGTGGGGGAGGACAATTCAACGTTAGAAGGAGAATGGTCAAATCCAACAAGTTCAAACTGCATGTTTAAGGATAAAGGTACAAAATAAAAATGATTTTAGAATATGTTTCTAATGAAATTGGAAGTACAAATACTTAAGTTAATAGAAATGATGAATGATGGAGTGAGTTCGATGTTCAATCCTTTTTAAGAAGATAGTTCCTACTCACAGTAAGTTGTTTTCCAACGATCTGGATTTCGAGCATTAGTTCATCATCAGGTTGAAGGGTTTCTACAAACACATCTCTCGATATTAATTGCAAAAATGGACCCGACGATACTCCCGCCAACTCGACGTTCCAATAAGAACCTGGTTTTGTAATGGCGCTCAATTTGAACGTGCGAAAAGGTGGTATTATAACTCAAGTAAATTTTATAATAGTAAATACTGTAAGAAATTAATTATAAATTAGTGATTAAAGATAAAAGAAAAAATAGAATAATACCTTAATATTATTAAATTATTATAAAAATAATAACAATTAANGTGGTTGTAGAACTCCTTCAACCTGATGATGAGCTAAGGGCTCGAAATCCGGATCGTTGCAAAACAACTTACTGTGAGTAGGAACTATCTTTTTAAAATGGATTGAATACTTAATATATATCATGTATAAATTATTTTCTCTTGTTTTTGTTGTTCTTTAACAGATTCAATAGATGCTTGGTGGTACATCCTGGTCGGTGTGCTTGCAGTGATCGCTATATCAATTGCATTTGGCTATTTTACTAGATGGTAAAATAATTTAAACTATTTTTCTTATCCATTTACTTAATTTTTAAAAAAATTGTATTTATAGTATGTGGCTCAAGTGCAAAGCAATGCAAAACGTAGGTGTGAAGTTACCGCCTCAACTTGAATTGAACAATGTGGTATGTTGTGAGATATTGAAGTGAATTATGTAGTCATCTTTAATAACAAATAAGCTTTATTTTCAGTATAAGGACAATAAGTTTCCTGCTGATCAACCTATAACTAATCACATTGGAACTACACAGCTGAAATCGCTCGATACAAATATAATACCACCTCCAGATCAAGAAGTAAGATTAAAAAATATATTTTTCTTAACACCCATTAGATGCCACTTGGCGTTTCATAGGGCAAGTCCTATAATAACTATTGGCGTCAGGCCCTGCCCACCAGGCTTCTATTGCTGAACAGCCTCTGCGTTGACAGTTTTTTGCTCATATTATAGCAATTCTTTAAATATTGATTTATTTCAGCTATTGCTGGTGAAGAAAGAAAGCGAGTTTATCGAAAATAGTATCGAAGATGGAGAAGATAAGAATGGCGATAGAGAAAGCAGTGGATGTGGTTCAGGACATGATAGTGTGTCGTCTTCCATTACTGCTGGAACTCACATAACAGATTCAGGAACAGAAGCCGATGAGGTATTTTTTATTGAGAAATTTTGGTTTTCTTTGTATATTTTCAATTAATGTAACATATATATTTGACCATTGGGATACAGTCTACTCTTGATAAGTTGAATTTCAAATGACTAGGCGAAATTGTTCGACTTACCGAGGTTGATATGAGAAATCTCAGAACACCAATCTAGTGGTTGATGATGATGATAAGGATGCTAGGAAGTGCATGTTTAGTATTACCAAACATGGAGCCTTTTGGCTTATTATACTTTTCCTAGTTCCTTAGTTCAGTTCAATTGACTCGATCTTTATTTTAAGAAGTATAGTGACACCCCTCTTAACAGGCACTTCTCTATAGCAACCACCTCTATTAAAGGACAATTTTTGCAAAAAAAGGGTCCAAAAGAGTTGGATTTCTATACATTTATACTTCCGTATACAAGTCGTGGAAACTGCTGTCAGTCCTCATCAGAGTAATTCACCACTCTAGGATGGACATAAATAGAAAAAATTTATTAAATGCCTATACGAAAAGCAAATATATTTGTTATGATCATTTTATTTTATTTTTTTATTTTTTCAAAGACAAGTTAAAAGCATTTCATGAAGGTAAGTAATGTAAACCATTACTGAGAAATAATAAAAACCGTTAAGGGGGTCACTCAGTGCTTATCATTGTAAGGTAAAGGTCTGAGGTTCAAATCCAGCGCTGCCCCTGCATTCAAATTTGACATACTTACAATTTTTTTTTGGATGGTTAGGGTGAACCCCATAAAAAAATTAATTAAATAAAAACAGTTTGATACAATTGTTAAATTGTTAGGAAATTTGCATACTCTTTAATTTGGAAGTTTGCTTTTTTTTCATCAGAAGTTACGGTCCTCCTCTCCTATCCTGGTCTGTGTTTGTTTATTAATGTTGATTTAAAAAAAAAATATATATATATTTTAAACCCCTCCTGAATGGGAACCTCTCAGTAATGGCCAAAAGCATGTTCTTCTCTGTTTCCATCTTGGGTACACAGGGTTATATCCCCATTGAGTGGTTGTTTAAAATTTGAATATGTGAGTGACAGTTACTTATGGCATAATCTAAAAATATGGTCATCATTGAAATACCCATGTTGTGTTGTGCATGTGTTTTTCTTTTTCTAGTATATATATCCCCATCACTTGAGTTTTGTCTAACTGTAGCAGTATGTTAGCCAGTTTTGATGATGGTCCTTTAGTTGTGAGTTTACTATGCTTGGCAGCTCTGGAGTTCATTCATTTATCCATTTTTTTAATGGTGTATCCATTGAGATGTATCAAATGTCCATGTTTGATCTTCTTATCCCAATTGTAGGTTCAGAGCCTGAGTCTTGCAGATACTCCTCTGGCCAGCTTGTCTGTTCAGTGACCAGAATTTACTTTTTGCCCTGGCACTCAAGATATTGTCAGGTTTTGAAGATTTTGGTTACATTCATTGACTATTTTGGATGCGACCTTTGTTAATTGCTTTTAAGACTGCTTGACTATCTGATTTATGAAGATTTTTTTCCCCTGTCAGTGTACCTCTAAAGGTTTTCTATGGCACAAGTAGATGGTGTGTATATCAATTTGAAAGACTGCTGATAACCCTAATAAGTTCGATTGCTCTATTGTAGGGTTTCCAACTGATGCTGGTTCCTTCAAAGGTTTTGGATCCATGTCTATAACACGCAGTGCTCTCTCTCCCTAATCTGAATTTCAGTACTCCAAACATTCCAATACTTTGAATTGCAAATAAATTCAAGAAGTCAGAGTTTTAAAGAAAACAACTGAAACCTTATTGGGGGGGGGGAGNCGACATGAATTGCAGAAGTGAACCCGCTGATATCCCCGCCAACGCGACGTTCCAATGAGGAGCTGGGTTTTTAATGGCGCTCAATTTGAACGTGCGAAAAGCGGGAATTATAACACAAATAACAATTGTAATAGTAAATACTGTAAGAAATTAATTGTAAATTAGTGATTAATGTGGAAACCCTTCAACCTGACGATGAGCTAAAGGGCTTGAAATCCGGATTGTTGCAGAACAACTTAATGTGAGTAGGAACCATCTTTTTTAAAAAGGATTGAACTCCACACTCACCCCATCATTTATAATTTCTAATAATGTTTTCTCTTTTCTAGCGACCTCCATCTCCCGAATCACCTGTGTTTTCCAATTCACCAAGGAACAGAAGTTCAGATTTGAGGCAACGGAATATATCACACAGCAATGGCGGTGAAGAAGGTTTTAGCAGGCTTGCTCTAACTCCAGCTAGTGTGCCAATGGGTTATGTGACGGTTCAGTCTGCGCCACGTGGTTACGTTTCGCATGCTCCGTTATTCTTGGATTCCCCTATTAGGAAGTGACATTGTTGTTGGTCTATTTTATATTACCTCCTCTTCTCAGAACTCCGAAACATAAAATTTACAACATTGCTCATACTTAAAGCCTCATAACCTTGCCTACAGTGTGATCCTTGGCAAGAAGGCCGTTCTTGCAACTCTGCTCTCAATCTTAAAGCGAGTTTATTTCTAGTGTTTATGACTGACTAGGGTCTTCGCAATCTCTATTGCCGTAAATGGTCCTTTGTACAGCATTTATTGGCTAACCTTAGTACCGCCCTCATTTTCAGCAGGTGTGATCTACGGCTTCAAATGTACCTGAAGGATATACTCCCAGCAACAATATAGTTCACGAATGTTATCAAAAGGTGGGTAAAATTACCTGCAAAATCTCCTGGCACCTTTGAATGGCAATGAGTAGTTAATAGCCATAGGTGTCCACGTTTACCTCTTAAACACGTTAACATCGATCTATCAACAGTACTCGATTTCCTCAATCTTTTATTTTGAAAGGTCTTGCAACATCTTGCGTTAATAAATAAATGTATGGAATCAGTTTAGTGTTTTAAATGTGTCTTTTATAATTGAATATGAAAGAATAATTAACAAAAATAGAAAGTTTAGATGGTGCTGATAGTGCGTGTTATGTGGAGGGTTATGACTGCTGTGTGCCTAAAGGCAGTATAGATCTGTTTGCAGTTATTTTCTTTCTGATTCAGTGGAAAACGTCCAATGATTGACCTTTTGTGCAAAGTGTAAAACCTTTTGTGTAATACATTTGAGGTTAGTATTGTTGGGTTTTTCAAAATTTCTACTTTTTAACTCAATTCATTGGGTCTTTGTGCGATAAGCAGTTTTATGTGTACAACGAATTTTAACCCCTTACAAGTGAGAGCTATATTGAAATGGGTTTTATTTTTTTACACGACCACTTTTTTTTTTGTGGTGATTGATTAATTTTTTAGTCAAATTGTCTTAAGATTTTCAACCGAGGCAATTCCTATTAGTATTTATTATTACATTGTTACTAGCTTTATGTATATAAGCCAAAGTGGCCACTGAACAATGTTATTTTTTATGATATGATTATCAGTATCTCAAAATCATTAACTTTTTACAGAATGTCATTATTTTATTTACAATATGTTATCTATTTAAAACTCATTTCTCGTACTTTGTTAAATCGGGTTAATGCTTGCTTTTAAACTTAAGTAGTAATCAAAAACATTTATGGATGATATTTTTACTAATCAAAATGATGACAGTTATTTTGTTAACTTGTTATTCTACATATAACGCGTAATGAATAAACAGAGTACAAAGTATTTTTGTATTTTATGTTTAATGATATTGTAGAATAAAAACGGCCATGAAAGTTTTGTTTTGTGATGGTAAATCATACAATTTAAATTATATTTTGATGAATTCATCAAATAGAAGAACTGATAGAGTTGTTTAATTAAAGATTTTTAATGTATGTTATTAGTTTCCAAGCATACTGTTTGTATATCTACATATGTTTAGAATAATTTAGCATAAATCTACTTTGCTGAAATGTTAACACTCTTACCTTGATTGTCGTATACATAATTCCTATGGATTACCTGTTAACAAAAAAGTTTTTATTTTTAGTGTTTTTATTTTTATTATTATAAGTGTAATAAAAACTCAAGAGATTTTTAGTTTTTGTTGTACATTATACGTAAGTAATGTAAATAGTTTGTATATTAATGCCTGAATGTGATGTTACACTGTATAAATAATGTTGTTATTTTACATTTTTGTTGTAAATATATTGGCAATTTCTTTTTCAATTAAAAATTAAGTATAAAAATTAAAAAAAACTATTTTTGATTGATTAAAAACATTAAATAAAATTTAAAACTGTCTTTAAATTAAAACAAACCTATTTGTAATAAAATTTACAGCTTTTACGTCTAAAGTACTGTCTGTATGTTGTAATGCTCACAACTGTTGGGTGATATAAATGTTGCACACCATGCTGCTATTTGTTATCAAATATGATATCAAAGAAATATATGTAAATTTTAATTCTAAGCTGTGTTCTGTTTTATTTCTTTTTCCTTAATCCTAAGTACCTGAATATTGTAGTATCTGTGGTCGCTCATGGAAAAGTCTTGAAGTCAAAAATTGTGAAAATTGAGATGATGAAGAAACTATGGCAATGTTGAGAGAGTATATGGACCAAACCATTGTATCCTTTATACCAACGATGGCACAGCAGTACTATAAACTCCCATAAATACGAAAAATATTGTAACTCTCCTGTACAAATTAAAGCATACATTTCAAAATACACAGACCTATCAGAACTATCTGACAAGGAAAAGATTATTCCAATGATGGGTGTACCACAGGGCAGTGTGGACCAATCATGTATATCTTTTATACTGCAGATGTCTCGACAACACCTCATGACAATTCAGCAGTACAGTGCTCTTTCAGTAATACAAACTAATTGCTGCAGGGGTGAATTCCAATTACAAGGGTGTTAAAAAAATACAGATGTGCAAAAAAAAAAATTCAACAACACTATTATTATTGCATAAATAAAATGTTAAACCTATTAGAATACTTATGTACTGTCAATTTTTCTTTAAAAATTAAGTTTTTTTTTGTAAATTTTATTTAACATTTTATTCCTTGCTTCTCTTTTTCTCTCATTTTTAAGCAGTACTCACTATCTCTTTCTCTCTCTCGTTCTCTTACACACTCCATCTCTTCTCTCTCTTTCTCACTCAATCTAAAACAAGCTGGTGCTCACACCAGAGCGGCTAATATTCACAAATGCATGTGAAAAATAATTTGGAAGTGGAAATTAATTTTGGTTACCCCCCCCCCCCAATTGTCAAGAGGTACACTCGTTTCGATATTGATCAAACTTGTTTTGGCTCAGCGCTAACTCGTTTTCTCCTCATAGAAGACGGCAGTGAACACAACATTTATTTAACGTTTGTTTTATTAACATAAATTAATTTTGAAATAAATGATCTTACGAGTTTATCAAGCCGTACATTTAACTGCTATGAAATCTATATGCCTATTTGCTATGTATGAGATGAAAACATAATAGATTATATGCGCTGTTGAAACTCATTGGGGATCGAACAAAAATCGTGTTGAAATTATTTTCGGACTTGTTTTATATTGTAAAGGCACCAAGATGGTTGAGTGTGAGTTATGTGCAATCTTCTTCTATTATTCTTGCTGATTCAGCATGAAATGAAACCTGGTGGCTAATGTCTTTTTGCAGTTTTATACCGATTTATGTCATCATCTGCGGGCGAAGTAAAGTTTTTAAAAAGAAAAATAATAATAAAACAGAAAAATAGAGGGGAAAAACAGCAATATATTCTTAAGATTTTGGATGATATATTAGCATATTAACAGTACCTCGATATGTATTGTATTTCAAAATTACTTCAAAATTGTACTTCAATCTTGGGCTTTGGCCATTAAAACTAAAGAGAGTCAACCCCCGAGTCCAAGGGTCACTTCTGCATAGTCGTCAGCAGAACTAGGATTCTGATTGGACTCCTGACAGGGCTTGCTTAAAAAGGCATATGTACCGGATAGGAGTACAGACAGATGAAACACTGTGCAGATACTGCTAGGAAGAAAAGGAGACTGTAGAACACGTTTTATGTTTCTGTGAGGGTTTATGTAGGAGGCTAAGGAGCGCTGGCAAGGTTATGGGGGGGGGGTTGATGATTAACAACCTGAAGGTAGCTAGTAATTTATAACATGAGAGGACCTCATTTTAAAATCCTGCAAAGCAAATATGTCAACAAAAAGCTGACTTTCACACACTACTAAAATTGATGTGACATAGGACTGAAACGGGCATGCTACACCTACAAATATCCAATGAATTCAGTCCTTAGTCAACACTCCCTACTTTGTCCCCAATACCACCCTCCACAATGACTTCACACCCTTTGTAAATAAATTAATCCCCACCAAATTTTCAACGAATCGTGATAAACTCTCCTCTCACCCCAACCCACTAGCTAATTCATGCCTAACATAACCCTTATCTCAGAGATCAATAGAATAAGAACAACCCAAAGGACATGGGGAGGAGTACGTTCTCTATAAATAGAAGAGATAAAATTAAAGATAAAGAAACATGGAAGCAAACAAACTTAACACATGTAATAGAAACCATTATGACATTAAAATGGCAATGGGCAGATCACATCGCGAGGTTTAGTGATGATAGATGGACATGAAGAAGTACTGATCCCATGTGATGGAAAAAACGGGATAGACAATTTAAAAGATGATTTGATCCAACACGCCGGGAACCTTTGGGGAAAAATCGCCAGACACAATAACTCTTGGAAAAAACTTGGGCAAGCCTTTGCCCTTAAATGGGCCTCTCGAGGATGGTGATGAAGAAAATGCAGAATATAAATAAGAAGAAGAATCATTTCTACCAAGAAGAAGAAGAATTATTTACTATTCAATCATACAAACTTCTCACTTTCTCTACTATGGAAATATTCCATAATCACTCTCATAACTAAACCATACAAACCTCCCAGCCACATATCCTGTTACAGACCTATCAGCCTTCTCCCAGTAATGTCCAAAGGACTTGAAAGACTTCTTTTAAAACACCAAATACCCATCCAGATCTACATAATGTCATTCCTTCACTCCAATTTGGTTTCCGTCCTCGTCATTCCACGACTCAGCAATGTTTCAGGGTTGGTGACACTATTTTCTCTGCTTTGGAGAACAGGGGAATGCATTCTTAAATATGTCCCAAGCTTTTGACAGGTCTGGCACCTAGTAGTTCTCTTCATACTAAAGCAGTTCCTACCCACTCATCACCAAATCTTAAAATCCTATCTAACTGACTGCTGCTTCAGAGCATGAAGCAATGAATTTTCGGATGTCAGACTGATCCAGACCAATGGGGACATACTTAGTCCATTCTACAATATATACAATTTATACTTCTGACCTGCGAATTCATCCCATCATCTTTACAACATACGTGGACAATAATTTTTTCTCCTAACCTCCAATAATATCCAGGGGTATCTTGAGCTCATTGAAGAATGGTGCAAAATGCGGAAGTTGAAACTGAACGAGGACAAATACACCAAAATTAGGTTCAGCCTTACTCATATCTATATGTTAACTGTAAAAAACTGCCGTCATCTACACACGTAAAACACTTAAGGCTGTATTTAGACAGAAGGCTGACAGGGAATCCTCACACAAGACTCAAGCGACAAGACAATTTAGACACCTCTACGAAGACTTATAGGACTGAAATCAGATGTGAATACTACTGTACAAAACATTACTTAGACCTATTTGGACAGAGCAGAACTGTGGGGGCTTCACCAAGCCATATAAGGTTCATGAATCATTCCAATCAAAACTCCTCAGAAGAATTCTCCAAACTACTTACTTTGTCTCCAACCTCACTATCCACAATGACCTTAACCTTCCGTCAAAGAATTGATCCGTTCCCTCTTCTTCAAGTTTCACTCCAATCTTTCAACCCATCCTAACCCTATTGTTCAAGCCCTCTTTACTACTACCTGTCCCAAGAATGGACTACTCAATACTACTTCCCATGGCCCCGAGACATCCTCACTTGAACCCAATAACAAACTGAATGCCAGCTTCTCATAACACATGTCCTTTGGGTGCAGTACTGGTCATAGTGTTTTGTCCAGGATTTTATAGCATTAGGAATATTTTATTATGTGTATAGTTCATGTGCAAATAAATAATAAATATATATTATCATATTCATTAAGAAAAGTTAATACTTTTAGGGTGTCTCTCTACTCAATGCATTAACTTCACAAGCACATTCTTCGCTCATTTACATTTTGTCCATTTGCTTTTTACCCTATATTAATTCATTATTCTAAATTTATTATAATGGTCGTTGATTAGCAAAACTCTCCACCACATTCTCAACAAAATTCAAATTCATTAATTTTGAAACAGGAAGGACCAAATATAATTCTGGTTGAATGAATTTATTTATTGTATAAATTAAAATATTAATAAAAAATAAGTATAAAGTAAATTTAATTAAATGAGCATAAATCGTTATTTATAAATTAAAAAATATTTGTGGTGTAATAATTTCATTGTTGGTTAACATAAAGACAAAAATGTTCTACGAATATGACGCACAATACTCTAATTTGGTATTAAAAAGATAAATCAACAAAACACTGCTTTTTTGCATATTTTAACAAAATTCTGTATGCAATGTAAATAAGAAAATGGTCAAAACTTGGATTTGACCTCTTTGTGGTGATTCTAGCGTTATAAAACCCTCAGATACCGACTTTCGCGGAAATCGGTGTAAAATTGTAAGAATTTAACTTTTTGGCTAATATAATAACGACGACCTTCTCGTGACATTCCTAGTGCACTCAAAACCTAGGAGACCGATTTTCATGGTTGATATTTCGTTTTAAAGAAAATGTCAAGTTCATTTTATAACTGCACCAAACATTAAAATAGGATATTATTTCCATCAAAAACGAGGTTAATTTCTGGTCAATAATTTTCATATTTTGTGAATTTTCTTATAGAAATTTTTTATAAATTTTTATAGTACATACGTCGCTAAAAAGCTACGATCCTCTTCGTTCAGTTTGACGTTAAAATCCTTTTAACATTTTTTTAATTATAGTCGTTTCAATCAGATATTCCAATAACGACTTTAAAAATCGGAACAAATTAGGGGTAAAAAGTCGATAAATTTAAATTATAAAAAAATTATATTTAGGGGCCTCTGAGGTGCTAAAACGAAATTTCTATTTTTAAATTTTTAAAATTTGTTCCGTGGAGAAAAATTAGGTCTTAGTTTACTTGAAAAATATTTAGCTTTTAGAAATTTTTTTGTCATTGATAAACTTTGATAGCTTTTACTATATTTTATCGCAATCTACATAAAAAATACTGTAAAATGATATATCCACATAGTTGATTTGAGCAAGTAGAATGGCAAAACAAAAATGCTAAAAAACAGCAAATTTCAAAAGTTTTTTGACCAAAAAACCAGGGACTATTAGCAAGAAGTGGTGGATACGTGTCCAATATTTTGGAATGTAGAAACCAAACTGGTCGTCCTCTTCTATGTTAAAGCTAGTTAGGTTAAACTTTGCCCACGACAAAAATTTGAATTGACTACATTAACCCCATTCTTCATTTTTCATACTGTCACCACTTTTATCACATTTAGCATAACATTTCTTCATTTTGGTTCGATGTTATTAAAGAAAAGGGTATGCCGCTAGAAAGCTTAGTAAACGAATAAATTTTTATGAAATTTGCCTTGAATTTTTCCAATGAGGCAAATTTAGTTGTGTTTTTTCTAGTTTTAAATTTAGCAGTTTTTGAAAGATTTAGTGTTTGTTTAAAAAAAAAAATTAAATTGAAAGGGGTAATGGAAATTTAACGCTTTTTTCCATACTGTTTTTGGATTTCCATAAAAATGAATAGTTCAAGAGCTACGAGTAGATGAAGAAAACCGTAGATGATTGAAAAAACAAAATGTTGAATATTTGCGAAAGGGTTGAGAATCGGACTATGGTTTGTATGGTGTTTTTCTTCCATATGGGGCGTAGAATGTTCTGGTGAACTTAATGCATTGAGTACCCTCTATACTACCTATTATTGTTTTTCTCTTTCGAATTCGTAAAATTGTATTACGTTTGCTTTTTACATTACAGCAAAAAAAGGTCCAGAGCGAAAGTAGACAAACCGTCGCGTGTGATTTACAAAGTCTGTCTACTTTGTAAAACGGTGGAAGGAAGGGCGTCGCGGTGCGCGTTCCCCACCAATCGAGTGTGGTGCCCCCCTTACCACCGTTGCACTTTTGCACCATTCATTCCTCGTGCTGACTGCTGAGTGTTGAGTCTTCGTGCAGACGTAACGCCGGTTTGACATGAACCCGTTGATGACAGTGTTCGCCCTCGTCGGAGTGGTCGTCGTCGGCTTCCTACTCGCCGATTTGCTCTGGGATATCTTCATAGCGATCCGTGCTCATCTCCTGCCAAGGTGCACAACTCCTGACCCGGATTTCGTCTCGAAATTCGGACCATGGGCAGGTAGGCGAGTTTTTCCTGTAGGTGGCAAGGATTTATTAGATTTACACCCCATTTAAACCCTTCCACAATGCCAACTTCAGTGAGAAAATTGTTTTGCCCTGAAGTTTTAACACGAGAGTTTATATTAAAAAAAAATTAAAGCCGAAGACCATCTTTTAAAGTTTTCTTTGGATTTATAATGCAGGTTTTATAGTGTGATGGTGGTACTGGACGTCTTTCTCTAGTGTCTCAAGAACTTGTTTAAACCGCCAACACTTGCCGACTGTCGTGTGGTCGCTCAGTCCGCAAACTAAAAAAACAAAATTTTAACGCATTTGAATTACCAATAGCCTTTTAAAGCATAACGTTTCAAATACAACAGATCATATAATTTTTGAATACATAGAGGAATAAAGAGCCCCTTCAAAAACTTCCTGTCTTGAACGTGGGGATGCTCCATGTATTACTTTTGCAGTTCCTGTACAACTTCTGAAGAAATAGTCAAATTCAAAATATCGCCTTCTGCAATAAAACTTTGGATCTTAAAGAGTGAAAAAATTATAACGCGTTGGTCACAAAAAAAATCGTAAGAGAATCCTAGGGCCGTCAGCCACTCAGTCCAATGTTACCTGGATTCTTATTTGGATTACGAAGCATTCTCGTCTCATGTTAATTGTACCGGTTAAAGTCTGAGCCAGAAAGTCCAGTTGTGTAAATTACCTATTTTTTTAACATGCTGCTGCTTTAACGGAAAGAATAGAGATAGAACTGGATTCATATGATTCGATCTTAGCCACTAGACATCGGCAACATTTTTTTGGCGGTGTGGGTCGTTCTAGGGGTGGTTAAACTCATGTTACTGAATTACGCGTCACGCCGTCTTCAGTGAGGAATACACTGAAACATAACAACGAGAATAGGCTGACTCGGGAAAATGATCACTTGATCAATAATTCTGTCGTTACTGATCATCCTGGTCAGCCTATTCTCGCCGGTTTCATAAATTTCACACATATCCGTTTCGGCTTCAAGCTATCTTCAGTGAGAAATGCACTGAAACGTAACAACAAGAATAGGCCGGATTTAGTAAAGTAATCACTTCATCAGTAATTCGGTCTTTACCGATCGTCCTGGTCAGACTATTGTTGCCGGTTTCGTAAATTTCACTCATATCCGTTTCGGCTTCACGCCATATTCAGAGAGAAATGCGCTGAAACGTAACAACGAAAATAGTTGGATTTATTAAAGTGAACACTTCATCAGTAATTCGGTCGTTACCGATCAGCTTGGTCAGACTATTCTCGCCTAGTTAGGTTATCCTTGCCGACTAGCCTAACTATGAGCACCACATGGCCCTTCGATCAACCGCAAATCTTTCAAGCCGGATTGCTAGGCTAGAAAAAATACTGGGATCTGCTAATAGCCTGAGGCGAAGGTGGTCCCGGGTCATGAAGGAATTTCAGGCATCCAGGCAGTAGACATCTTAGCTAAAAAGAGAGCCTCGGGACAACATATAGGCCTAAATCTATTTTGTGGCATAAATAAAAGCCACGTTTAAAAAAGAACTGGAATCTTGGATTACTAAAGAACACAAATACTGGGTATGCCAGGTACTCAAAAAGACTAAAAACAACCCAGTGTGTTGGCTTTCCTAATGTCTTCTCCGACAAGTGCAAAATTACACATTTTCCCTTCGCTCATCTTACCAAATAATGAAAACTCCTCGTTCTTCTAAACGCTGCGATGTTTATCGTTAGGTTCAAACCGACCGAGTTTTTTCACATCGGTGTGTTTTTGTGCTGGATACATGTCATCGATTTCGGGGGAGTGCGCATGGGTAGGTTTGGTGGTTTTATAGTTGGTTAAGTTAGGTAGGTGGTGTAAGGATTAACGTTAGAATTAGTTATGGATTAGGTTACATTAAGAATGGTTAGAATAGATATGTTTAGGATACATTGTTTTTCGTAACGGAGAAAATATGTGAGCACCAATAAACAAACTCCTTTTACTCCTAATATTTTTTCAGCGTCCATTACCCCTCTTCGTTCTTTGATTCAGATTCCCGCTTTGGCACAAAGGCTGCCGATATTTATGTTGTCCTAATGAGTCAATTTAAACCAATTATTTTGTGCCGCTGGTACATGTGGATAGGTAGCAATAAAGGGTAACTGCTACGACCCTAATCTTACTCCGCTACTGGCTTTCCGGAGGGTCATATCTGTCTTTTATACAGGGTGTCTCGTAAACAAACGCAATACTTCAGGAGAATATAAATATTGCCGAATTGAATGAAAAGCATCTCAATGTGTATTAAGTCTGATTCTCAATTGTGTTCGAGATATTTCACTTTTCAGGTTACTTCAATCTTTCTCACTTCTCCATATCTTGTAAAATGTTAATCGTGTTGTAAATTTGATGACATCAACAGGAAGAGCTCTAAAAACCCTATGAGATTATTTTTTTTTAAATTGTAACCTTAAGCAATCAAAATCTCTTAGAAGATAACCTCTTACAACTTTCCAAAGTTCTTGTCTAAAGTTATAAATTTCTTAGAGAGTAAAGTTTGTTAGCCTGAAAGGTGAAATGTCTCGGATATAATTGAAAATCTGACTTTGGGCAATAGAGGCTTTTTAGTCTAATTTGATATTTAGGATATCAAGTATTGTCATCTGTCCATGGGACTATCTAGTTAGACAGCAGTTGCGAGGAGAAAATGAGCGATATTTTTTCGAATGTCGCCTGCTTCCTGTCCAAAACAAACGACAAATCTTATTTGGATTTCACACCGATGTGCTGTCCCTAGGGTCTATATCTCAACGGAGTTCACTTACCCCGTTATGGGGTCGTTAGTATCTCCCATAGGCCAGATGCCGAGGAGATAGTCGCCACCCAAACAACGGGGGCTCAGACAGCTAGATCATTTCAGCCCCAATCCATGCAGAAACTTACTAACTTCTGCAATACAATTGCAAAAATATATATACATATGTACATTGCACTCATTCTGAGACACGTCTTAAATTTATATTTAACCAGTATATCGCTTATATTTAAAGCAAGAATTATATTTGACACAATTATTTTCATCGATTCTAATTCCTTGCCAATAAATCACAGCATCGAAAAAAGCATCATTTTCAGCAGCATTTTAAAGTTAGAAAAGAAATATATTTTCATAAGAATAAATTAAAGCAAATTATGCACAGTAATTCCTAAATTCACTAATTTCGTGGTCCGCTTGACCAATTAATACATTACAATTAATTAAGGTTTTTAGTTGAGATGAAAAAAAAGCTAATGGCACGAGAGGGATTCGAACCCACGACCTTCGGCTGGATACGCCGCTGCTCTACCACCTGAGCTATCGTGACCTCGATCCACTCGGACATCAACTCCCCATCTCAACCCCACCTTATGAGTTTTCCCTCCTTTTGCCATTTTTCAATTGTCGTCGAGAATCCAAACCGATTACACGACATTTGAAAAATGGCAAAAGGAGGGAAAACTCATAAGGTGGGGTTGAGATGGTGAGTTGATGTCCGAGTGGATCGAGGTCACGATAGCTCAGGTGGTAGAGCAGCGGCGTATCAAGCCGAAGGTCGTGGGTTCGAATCCCTCTCGTGCCATTAGCTTTTTTTCATCTCAACTAAAAACCTTAATTAATTGAATGAATAATGCACAGTAAATTGAATCTTATGTGATCAAGTAATATTTATCGGTCATTAGCGAAAGGAAATAAAAATTTTTACCTTTTTGTGGAGAGGAAAATTGAAATTACCTGCGAACTGGTCCAGCCTGGTCGACCCAAGAAAGAAAGCTTTCCAAGTTCCCTTTTTTATTACTTACAGACAAACATGGAAAGTTGTCTATCAGAATCAGCCCCTTTGAGACATTCACATAGGTCATTTCTTTGGCATGATTCGTTTCGGTTTATTTTTGGACCTCAACCTCGCACTGCTTCAGATTTTCTCCAAGTTGATTGCAAATTAAAAAAAGCTATTGCTGTACACAACATATTGCCAGGGGTGGACAAAACAGGGCCGGTGCGAAATCTAAAGGAATAAATGCGGCAATCGGACGGGAAGACGGATTGCACACGACCTGCGTGCTCTTCGTTGCGTGAAGATGAAATTAATCTTCTACTCTTTCGTGGCCCTCCTTGGGAAAGAGCGAGCGACGTTTCATTAGCTAGGATGAAGAAATTCTCTTTTTGCCCAAAATCCACTGCAAACACTCTTCTAGGTAAGCGAAAGTTATTGAGGAAAATATAGCGGGATGACACAGACATCATTTGATGCACAATTTTTCCATAATTAATTTATTTTGTAGGTTTTGGATTAGATTTCTAGGAGTCGACATCTGTGCAACCTCTATTTTTACCTGGAGCTCTTCGAAGCTGAAAATATGCTTTTTAATAGATCCCAAAGCTTGAAGGGCTCACGTGTGTATCGTTCAGACCTTGGCTGGTATCTCCTAAGAGTAGCGATCTCAGCCTGCATAGGCCTTCGCACCAACGTAGGACATAAAATTGAAGCTCTTTGTATACATTGAAAATAGTAAATGGAAATTCGTCTTAAAGTATCTAACTATGAACACCACATGGCTCTTGGATCAATTACAAGTATCTTTCAAGACGAATTGCTGGCCTTACAAACATGTTCACATGAAATAAATAACAAACGTCTCAAGGGTGCAACAAGAATAATACTACATGATAGCCTGGCAGCCCTAAAAGCCGAACGCTCCAAGCTTTCGAGATCAATTCAATTCTTGTCTGGAACTGCCTGACTACCCTAACAAATTGGGATTTACAAATAGCCTGATGCAAAGGTAGGCCCCAGGTCATGAAGGAATATCAGGCATCTAGGTAGTAGACATCCTATCTAAAAAGAAAGCCTCAAAACTACACATAGGCCAAAATCCATTTTGTGGCATAAATAAAAGCCACATAAAAAAACACTAAAATCTAAATACTGAGAACGCCAGACTTGAGGCAATGAAATATCTACTCTCAAAAGGAA